TGGGTGGGCTGGGGGCCCTGAGCAGAAAGAAGGTGGGCCGAGGCCTGATAGGTCTCAGTGGCCCCAGAGGAGATCTAGGACGGTGGCCCTGGCCATCGGGCCGCGGGTGAGGCAAGCGGTGGTGCATGGAGCCCTGAGCCCTGAAGCCCACTTCCAGCACTGCTGTCCTGAGGACCCAGTCCGTGGCACGGAGAGCGAGTAAGTGACTGAGAAGCTCCACCCGGTTTATAGGCTTATTGGAGTTGTAAGACCCTCAGGAATTGTTTGGAGTGGAATAAAAGCACTGTGGCTTTGGGTAATTGTGTCCTGAAGCTGCAGTTTTAAAGAGTACAGTTTAAACATGTTTAAATCTGGTATGGTGGTACACACCTGTGATCTCAACACTCAGGAGGCTGACGCAGGAGGATCTTCAAGTACATAGCAAGACCCTGTGTCAAAAAAATATATATATATATATATAAAATTTATATATATATATATTTTTTTTTTTTTTTTTTGCTTTTCTTCTTATTACCTAGCTTCATCTCATCAACCCTACCTCCTTAAGACTCAGGTCCTCGTTTGGTAACAGTCCCCACATCCCTCAGACATACCTCAGAAGCCCAGCTCCCCTGGGGACTCCAGAATCAGGCTGAGATTCTGTGAGGAGCCAGCCAGAGCTAGGCAGGACTCCAGGCCACGATGCCTCGCAAAATCCTCCCCTTCACAGCAAACACCCTCATCCCACCCTCCTTGCTGCTTTCTGGAGTCCTCTTTCCTGAGTGTCTTTACAAGATGTGATCAAAAATAAGGTAACTGCTGCCACCAAGCACTGTCTAGCTGCACAGAGGCTCATACATAGAAAGGTGACACTTAGTCACTGGGTCTGGTGCTGTGTGTCTCCCAGCTCTTCCCCAAAGTCAAAAGGACCATGACAAGGAAACGAGGTTCCAGACCTCGAGGCACCCAGGACAGTGCAACTAAGACACCCAGGAAAGAGGGCCCGGAGCTGCTGCAGAAGGCGGCCGTGACCGTGGGATAAGCTCACTCACAGTGGACGCGGGATCCCCTGAAACAAACAGCCGTGTATGTCTGTTGATGTAATAAAATGTGGAAGGGTAAGCGCTTGCCGTGTCTTGGGTCACACGTGGTAACAGAGCACATTAACCACAGAGCTCTGACCCGCAGGTCTCTGTGCTTTGGAGCCCACTGGGCCTACCTCGTCTTCCTCTGCCCTCCCAGGACTTTTGTTCCCTTCCCTTCCTCACCGAGATCAGCTCTTAGCTTCTCTTTTTCTCTTTCCTCCTAGTTGGAGATCTGGGATGTGTGTTTCCACCGCTGTTCCTAAGTCACTCGTGCCCAGTACACTATGTCCCTCCTGGCCTGGAGGCCACTTGAATTGACAGAGGAGCAGGTCCCTGACTCCCAGCAGGACATGGGACTGAGGCAGAGTTGACTGGCTCAGGAGGGGAAAGGATGGGTGGAGGGGCTGCTGTTGACTTCCTTATTTTGCAAGTAGCAGATATCTGTGTGTCACCAGCCACGGCACACTGCTTCCTGGGTCGGGTTTCCTCTACCTGGGCTGCCCAGTAGCTCCTGGCACTCAACAATGCCTCATTCTCTCCTCCCAGGACGCAGAGGAGCTCTCTGTCCCAATCCAGGCTCTTCTGTGCAGGCAGGTGCCAGGAAAGGGAAGAGCTCCACCAGCATTCCCCACCCCAGGGAAACAGCAGAGCCTTCGTGCTTCCCAGAGGCCCATGAGACAGTAAGGGCTGGAGCTGCTGGCCCCACCAACACCCCTTTCCAGCTGCTGAGTGATGCTGTCCAGTGATCAGCACACCTGTGGGTGTGTCCGGCACACCGAGTACCAAGACTGCGTGTGGTTAACACAGGCGATTAATAGGTCAATACACACATCACGAGAGAGTAGACCTAGGATTTTAAAATGAGTCAGGTTCTGTCCCCTGTGTTCAAAAAAAGAAAAATGGAGAAGTCTCACTTCCACCCTTAGAGAAAGAAGAGAAGGATGAGGGGCTGGGGATTTAGCTCAGCGGCATAAGCGCCTGCCTTGCAAGCAGGCAGTCGTGAGTTTGATCCCTGGTACCGATAAAAACGAAAAAGACAAAAAAAAAAAAGAAGAAGAGACGGATGAATTCTAAGGGGACAGAGGGGCTGGACTCTGCCGTGTGTGTGTGTGTGTGTGTGTGTGTGTGTGTGTGTGTGTGTGTGTATGTGTGTGTGTACTGAAAGGGATTGGAAAGCTAGAAACACAGAAGTTCCAGAGGGAAGCAGGAGGCAGCCGATGCCCCTTCCACTCGCCTGCACATTCATCCATCCCATCTTTCCACTCCCAGTCCTTCCATCTGTCTGTCCCTCTGTCACCCCACCACCACCCCACCCCCGTGCCCTGCAGCTGGCTGAGCACTCCTGCGAGCTCGCTCTGGGCAGTAAGGGTTGATTTCGTGCAGATGCAGGGAGCCCCGTCCTCTGGGCCCAGACAGTGCGGCACCGTTTGGCTCTGGCCTCTCATCACTGTCTGTGGTGCGTGCTGTCCACCCCCACCAGCCGGCGCCTGTCCGAACTGGCAGAGCCCGATAAGGCCAGGAGGGGATGGAGGCCCCATAACCTCCCAAGCACCGAGCACCGCTCTGGCGGTCCTAATTAAAGCCCTGCAGGCTTCACAAGGCAGGATGGCGCCTCGTGGGGCTTTGGCCCTCGAGCCATCCCTTATCATCCATCACCCTCAGAACCTGATAACCTTGGTGGTGCGCAGGGGCTGGGTTTCAGGGGACTCATCTCAGAGGCGGGTGTGTCTTTTATATCTCTCCAGGAAATGTGTGAAACATCTGTGCCTGGACACAGAACCCACAGGCCAAGAATGAGTCAGGGAACAGCTTGTGCAGGGGAAGTCCCAGGCTGGGCTCCTCCGAGTAAGGGTGGTGCGTGCTTCCTTGATGACCTGCCTGAGAGCAGGGGCACCTGACAGAGTAGTGAATGTCCTGTGGTCCCTCCTTTGGATGATAGGATTTGCTAATGAGATATCCACCCAGGGACATCTAGGGTGGCCCTTGGCCTGCGCACCAGAGCAGTGGTGACTGTCATGGGTATCCAGGATCCACCACGATGGCTAGGGGGTGCCCTAAAACACCCAAAAGATCGGTACAAATATCGTCACCTGTTACAGAGCAATGTGATGGACAGCAAAGGAAAGAGGAGTGTAAAGAGCAGGGCCACTCACTGTGAGCCCAGCACATATGACCCAGTGCGGGGCACCAGTCGGACAGACCTGGCATGAGCCTGTAAGGGCACTTCCGGTAGATGGCTCTCCCCTAAAGACAGGCATGGCGGAGGGTCCAAGCCTCCAGACTGTGCTCCACACCACTGGGAGCAGGGTGCTATCGGCAAGGAGGCCGCACCGGCCTGCCTAGGGCCTATCTGGGTCTGCCTGGAGTGTACACAAGCCAGGGGAGAAAGATGACCCCAACGAAATGGGAATCTTCAAATCAGAGACAATTTAACCTTGTGGATTTCTAAGGAAAATGAGCCAGGCATGGTGGTGCACTCCTGTAACCCCAGCACTTGGAAGGCTGAGGCAGGAGGATTATAGTGGAAAAATGAACACACATGCTTTTCAAGGTCTGTGGTGATAAGTGTACCCCAGAGGGCCCAGCGAGAGCCCACTCACCTTTTTTCTCCACCACGGGCCAGAGGCAGGGGCACAGACTGTTACCTTGGGCAGCTGAGCTGCTGTTACAAAACCCCACAGACTCGAGAATTCAACAGCAGGGAGCAATCTGCTCCTGGGGGGATCCCCAGATGGAAGAGGTTTAGCTTCTTCCGAGGGTTTGGCTTGGCTCTCTTGGCCTCACAAACCATTTCCTCCTCTTCCTGCCATCCTGTGGCATTTCCTCAGAGTGCCTGAGGTTCCTCCTTACAAAGTGTGTGGTGATAGGGTCCCCCCAGACCCAGACAGTTGGTTTTCAGTGGCCTTTTCATAGGCTGCCAGCTCTCAGTGGATCTACTGGGGGTTAGGGCTTTGACATGCAGATGTCAGGAAGAGGATGCTTTTCAGCCCCAAATACAGAGGGTAGCTTTAAAAACAACAACGAAAGCAGAATAATCATAAAGCACAGACATCGTACAGACAGAGTGGCTGGACACATCTGCCCCAGGGCTGCTCAGAGCAGGAGAGAAGCCCTCAGGAGTCACACATGGGAATTAGGGCTTAGCGTCTGAGCTCTTTCAATGCACCGATCCTCTCCGATGGCCCAGTGATAACCTCCGAAGTGAGAAACGGTAGCTCATCGTGCTGCCAGGCAGTTTATGGAACAGCGTCTCCGGGCCCTCCCTCCTCACCCTGTCCTGCCACAACTGCAGTGCATCACAGCTGTCCTCACTGCAGCCAACCCAGCTTGCTGGGCACAGGAGCCTTGCCTGCATACACACCTGGCACCCACACTTGAAGAGGGCAGGTTTATGTGGGCTCACAGTTTTTGAAGGGGTCAGTCCATGGTCACCTGGCTCCAAGGCAGGAGGTCTGGCCGAGGGGCCTGTCGGAGGAGAGTACTCAGGGCATGGTGGGCAGGAAGCAGGGCCAGTCAAGGGAGGATCCGGGAGGGAGGTGAACCCACCGGGCCTCACTCAGGAGATCCTCCCTTCCCACCAGAGCGCCCTCCCGAGGGCAAGTCATCTGTGACCTGCAGCCCAGTCACCCTCCACCAGTCCGGCCTATGAGTGCACGGGGCCTGGGGCCATCTCCATGTAAACCTTGGGGTGTGGCTGTGCTGAGTGCTCAGGCTTCTGCACTGTAGTCCAGCTGGCCAGGAGGAGGGCGGGCCCTTGGATTCGCCCTGACCATGGGCACTGGTCCCTGAGCAGCATCAGCGGCCAGTGGAGCCCATGGAGGCTGGCCGGGGAACCCCGTGACTAATGCACACTGTAATGGGGAGGAAGGAAGCAGGGGAGTCTGTTGGGTGTTGCATCACAGGCCCAGTGATAAATCCTGCTCAGATCAAGGGCTTAGACAGGCTGTCTCTGTCCCCAGCCACTTGCTTGACTGCTGTCTTCACAGCCATGTCCCCAGGGTGGCTGGCTCTCGCCCTCCTGAGTGTGCTAGATGCGTGGACCCAGGCCTTCAATGCCCGGCTGGTCAAGTGTTTCGAGGACCCCCAGTATGAGGAGCTACTGCAGCTGGCTCGGAGTGGGCTGTGGCGCACAGCCAACAGCAAAGAGGTGGTGGTCATCGGGGCAGGCATGGCTGGGCTCACTGTGGCCAAGACCCTGCAGGACGCTGGCCACCAGGTATGCGTGGGCTTGGGGAGTCTCGTGGTGGCTGAGGATTGAGAGCAAGGTGGGCACTGGCAGTGGACAGCCTCAGGGCACAGGAGACAAGCTCAGCCTGGGGCTCTTGGCCAGGATGGAAGGGTCAGGAGAGCAGGTAGCTGATCCCACAGCCAAGGGCCACCTCAGAAAGGCACAAAGGGGGAACAGCTGGCCCTGCCTAAGGGCAGAGGGGTGTAATGGCCATCTCCAGTCAGTGGTCTCTTTCCAGGTGACTGTGCTGGAGGCCACAGGGCGTGTGGGTGGCAGGATAGAGACGCACCGGGTTCCTGGAGCGGATTGGTACATAGAGCTGGGCGCCATGAGGATCCCTGTGAACCACAGGTATGGTGGTAAGAAGTGGGGACAGACGAGGAGCCTGGGCTTCAAGCTGCCAGCACCGAGGTCAAGGGGACAGCAAAGGGGCAGAGTCCTTTCCTCCTGGAAGCCAAGGAGTCGGGATCTGTCCCCGCTCATTCCTCAGCTCCAGGGCTCTTGGAAAACTTCCCAGGCTGGATGCTTTAATTTACATAGTGGCCTGGACACACCTGCCTGGCCTGCTGGGGACACCTGAGCTTAGGGGAGGGGAGCCCAGGAAAGTCACTGGCAGACAGGGGGATCTGCTGCTGGCAGGAAAGGGAAGCCCTGAGGTCAGGAGGGCACCGGAAGAGGTCAGCCAGAGAGACACTGCTAGGCACCCTTCATTGTGACACCCAGCACCTGGAGTCTGAAGCCTTCCAGTCTCTGATAAAGTGAGGGTGGCTTTGGCCAGCTTGGAAGGCAAGGAGAAAGGACCCTCCTGGCCATGTGGTGGTTAGTCCAGCACAGCAGCTGGGACCCTAGCATCCATCCATGCAGGAATCAGGGAGGACAGGGGCTTCTCATTCAGGATGCACTTCTCCCCCACCAGGCTGACTCAGGAGTTCATCCAGAAGTCCAAGCTGATCCTCACAGACTTCTGCTCCTGCAACAACCAGACGTGGGTGCTGGTGAACAGGGTGCGGCAGCGCCTGGGGGCTGTGCAGGCCAACCCTGACCTGCTGGGCTACAAGGTCAGACCCCACGAGGCAGGGAAGACGGCGGAGCAGCTCTTCGAGGAGTCCCTGAGGAAGGTGAGCCACGGTGGGAACAGCAGTGTGCGGGGGACCAGCACAGAGATCCTCCCAGGCACTGGGCCATGGGAATCCCCACCAGCCTGTCCCTCCTGACCCTGTGCCTCTGTGCATTCTGGGACCCCAAAGGTCTACAACCCGGCAGACGAGTCCAAGCCTCCTGCTGCTGAAATCATCCCAGCAGGTGCAGGCTTAAGGCAGAAGGTCATTGAATGCAGGGATGACCTGGGCAGGACGCCTGCCATATCTGTGCCCAGCTCTCACAGAGCAATCCTGCTCTCAAGATGCCTCTCCCAGCTATTGGGGAGATGAAATATGAGGATAGTAGTTGTAAGGTCCATGCCAGGCCACAGCCAGCCCTTACCTGAGTTGTCCTGAGGGGAGGTTTGAGCCAGGGATCTAGCTCAGCAACATGGCACCTGCCTGATGGGGATCTGAGGTCCGGCTGGGAGCTGCCTGCCCATCACAAATTTTTGTCTTCTGTGACCCATGGTCCAAAGGGAATTTGGGTGACAACTGAGTCCATGGGACAGGAGCCCTGACAGGTTATTCCGCAGTGGTACTGGCAACAGCCCTGCTAACCCCTGAGCCCGTGGACCCAGTCCTACCTCCTCTGCCAGCCCTGTCACCCACCAATCCCAACAGCCTCGGGGGCCATGAGAATGCTCTCCTCAAAGACAGAAATGCAAATGATGGAGACCAGGGTGCTTAGGCTCAAAGTAATATATTTATAAAACAAGAAAAGTGCTATCGGGAGGAAATATCACAATGGCATCTAAGGAAAATTAGAGAAGTGATTTATACTGCTTGATTTGTTCCATAACCCATTTTCCTCCCAACCGTTCTTTACAGTAACTTTCCAGACCAGCATCTAATCCATATAGCGGTAGTTTGTCTGCTTAAATTTTACTATTTTTACCTAAACATTGTATTTTTTCAGATACCCACTTAGCTAAAAGATGTTGCATTTTGCAATTTTTCCACACTCTAGATTTCCTGTTCATTATAAATAAGATATAAAGTGCTCCTTAAACCTAAGGATTCTTGGTTCAAAACACAAGCCTGTCCTCAATGGCTGAGGAGGTGTTGATGTCCCCTGCTGAGACCTGGGGTGCAATCTGGGCTGCCAGAGAGCCTAGTGGCTGCTGGGAGCAGAGAGGGAGTCTCCATCCTCCCAGCACAGCCCGACTGGGGGGCTAGACAGGCAGGGCTTCGGGCCTGAGTCTCATGGTGGTCTTCCCCTCCCCCCTCCTCCTCTCCCCTCTCCCACCTTACCCCTCCCCCACGCTTCCCCTCCCCTCCCCTCTCTCCTCCCTCTCCCACTTTGTGCCCAGGTTGAGGAAGAGCTGAAGAGCAGCAGCTGCAGCCAGGTGCTAGAGAAATACGACTCCTTCTCCACCAAGGTCAGCGCCCCCACCTGCTGCCCGCCCTGTCACAGGTGCCCCCTCTCCCGCCCCAGCAGCCCAGCAGGACCTCGGCCCCACATGGAGAGATCTCTTGCTCTCTGCCTCCTCAGCTACATGAAAGCTCTGACCTTGCCTGAAGGCTGACCCCAACCCCACGCTAGCTCCTCCTGGGGCAGCACCCAGGGAAGCAGCCTCTTCTGGCAGGGTCTGAGGCAAGCGGAATGCAGATAGAAAAGAAAGTCCAGTGGCCCTGCAGCACTGATCGAGGGGCTGCACCCAAAAGTGTGCCCTTACATGACTTACAGCTGTGCAAAAGTCACCCCTGACACCTGCTGCAGTGGCAGCTGCAGCCCCGTGGGATGGGGAGCCACGTGCTGCCTTCACCAGCAGGGGCGTCCTCACACAGGCCCCAGGGTCCTGAGAAGTGGGGGAGCTCAGTGGCTCCATGCGGGCCTGGCAAGGGTCTGGATTCCATCCTCAGCACAACCAGCAAGTACAGAGCACCAGGAAAGGGTCTGCGGGCCCTGTGTGGCAGCAGCAGACACTGCAGGGTGCCCAGGTGGCCAGTGGGGAGCATGTGGCTCTTCTGAGCTCCCCAAGGAAGCAGGATGGGGATGCAGAAGCAGACATAGATGGCCCTTGAGCAAATCCCAACCAGCAGAGGCTGCGGGCTGCAAGTGGACTGCTGAAATATACTCAGCTCCAGAAGTGAAGTGGGGGAAAGGTGACCCGGGCTGGGATGTAAGGTGACCACGGTGTGCTGGGTCCCCAGGTCCTGGCCTGATGCTGCAGTCTACAGACACAACCTGTCCCCAGGCACTCTTTAGGCATAGCTGGAGATTGCTGGGGACCCAGGGCCTTGACACTGAGCTACATCCTCAGCCTTTTTCTTTTTTTCACTACTTAGTTTGAGGCACCATTGTTCTGCCTCAGCCCCTCCACCCCCCCCCTAGAGTGCTGGACCACAGGTGCTCCCCCACCACTTCTTGACACGCTCTGCCCCAGGACGGGGTGCCTGCAGCTATGTCACTGTTGAATAAAATGCCTGTAGGGGCAGAGAGCCAGCTAACACCAGGCTGGTGCCTGCCAGCTACCCCGGGGCTCCTTCTGACCACTGCCTTGGTGCCAGGGAGCTGATGCAGCCCTGGGAACTGGGCTGACCACACTCATTGTGTAGCCCTCACTGCCAGCCTGGCCACAGCCATGTTGGTCTTGGCTGGGGAAAGAGACAAGGGCCAGTGGGTGCCACAGGCTCTCCTGGCCCTACATGGATGGAGGAGCCAGGACATGGGCTAGGGGTGAACGTGAGGCTGGCGTGGGAGCACTGGGCTGCTCAGAGCCCCTTCCCCACCCCGGTGCCACCTGCAGCAGCCAAGGGTCTGTGCGGATGAGCACAGAGCTCAAGCTACAGCTTCCCCAACTTCCTTAGCATCTTTCCTAGACCTCGTGTGCAGCACAAGAGGGTCATAGTCCCCAAGAGGAGCTGGTGCAGTACAGGGCTCCGCTCTTGCTCCACCCCTGCCCTCCCCGTCCTCCTCTTGTCCCCTCCCTGCTGCAAAGGACACATCTCCCGGGGTCCTGTCCTCTACCTTTTACTTTGCTCTTTCATTTATGGATACTTTGAGTTTCCTAACCAGGAGCTACTGACACCCGCAAGCCTGGTTCAGGGTGAGTGCTGTGGTCCCACAGGATGATGGCACAAAGCAGGGCTCCCAAGGGAAGCTGCCCTGCCGGGCACGCCCCCTCTGCTAGGACTGAACCTCTGAGGATGCCTGGGCCCCGGGCGGGGCGCTGTCCCATCCCTTCCCTCGATGCAAATTGGGTGGCAGCGGGGCACCCATGCTCACTCCTTTCCCACCCCCAGGAGTACCTGATCAAGGTGGGGAACCTGAGCCGCGGCGCAGTGCAGATGATAGGGGACCTGCTCAACGCTGACTCCGGCTACTACGAGGCCTTCACGGAGACGCTACGAGGCTTCATCATCTTCTTCCATGAGCCCCGGTGGGCAGTGGCGTGGGGAGGGGCTCTGGAGGGTGGGTACCTGGAAAGACAGGGACAGGAAGGGCCCTCGGAGGAGCAGGAGGCTCCCAGACCCACCCCAAGGGGCTGGCTGACTCCCACACAGACAGGGACCCTCAGGACAGTCAGCAAGGGACAGGAAGGAACTGACTGGGCACAAACTGAACAGGACACGGAGCACAGACATCAGGCTCTAAAGAAAGAGGCCCTGCGAGCAGGAGCACACTGGGAGGTTGGGGTAACTTTGAGTGGGTGACAGCGTAGGGTGTGCATCCTGCCATCTGTCCAGCTACCCGTCTGGGGCCGTATCACCATGTAGACCATGGCCCTGGGCGTCAGGCTGATTCCTGCTGCCCACTCCGCAGCCGCTTCCTCGAGGGCAGGGAGGGGAACTCAGGCCCAGGGCTCACTTCACCAGCGCTGTGTCTTCAGTGCCCTAGGAAAGTTTGTTTTCTAAGTGAGTTTCCCAGAAGAGAAAGGGCTTTGAATAACTTTTGTCTCCTCAACCAGTTTTTCCTGCAATTTTAAATTCCAATTTCTGCCGGTGTTGGTGGCACACACCTTTCATCCCTAGCACTTGGAGGCCGAGGCAGGAGGACTGCTGTGAATTCAAGGCCAGCCTGGGCTACATAGTGAAACCCTATCTCAAAAAACCAGGCAAAACTCTGATTTCCTTGTCCTCTTTCACCCATATTTATTTCTTCTATTCTATCTCAGAGAGGGAAGCCACAAACTAGGTGAACATCCCTAGAGAAATGGGAGCCAGGGAGGAGCAGGTGGGACTTTCCAAACTCCAGGGAGCCTGGGGACACACAGAGGGGGGGTCATCACCCCCAGAGCTAGGGCCCAAGAATGCACCCCTCTGATGGGTTCCAGTAGTGCCTCTCAGAGTCGCACTTTGAGAACCCCTGGCACACAGGGGCTCAGGAAAACGATCCAGGGTGCTAAACCCAGAGCCCACCTATTGGCAGCTGGCTCTGAGATGAACAGAGTGTCCCGGTGGACACAGGCTCTGACCCTCCAGGAAGTCAGAGGGCACACAGGTCTCCTCCTGCCTTGCCCCTCATTCTCAGGCATGGGATTCAGGGTTGGTCCATTGAGATTTTTTTTGGTCTTTTTATCGGTACCGGGGATCAAACTCAGGAACACACACTTGTAAGGCAGGTGCTTATGCCGCTGAGCTAAATCCCCAGCCCCCGGTCCATTGAGATTTAAGCCAGGAGCCAGCACAGGGAGAAGGAACAAGGCAGACCTAAGACAGAGCGAGTACTTCTCGGTGGCGTCCAAGCTGCACTTCGGGGGTCCTGCGCTGGGCTCTCCGAGGGTGTGGCCTAAGGGACTTCAGGATACATCTTCCCTAGCCCGGACCAAAAAAAGGAGGGTTGGGCTTCCTGGTTGGGCCCAAAGCAGCAGCTCTCTGCTCCCTGGGACCAAGAGTCGCCTTCCAGCACTGTCCCTTTGCCTCAAGTGCCCTCCTGACACGTGGCCCAGCTGGGCACCCCCGTGCCTCCTCCACTGACCCCTCCCTTTGCCTCCCTCACACCCTCAGGTTCCATGAGATCATCGGGGGCTTTGACCAGCTGCCCCAGGCCCTGCACGACGCCCTGCGGCCGGGCACCGTGCGGCTGCACTCCCCGGCAGAGGAGGTGGAGACCTCTGGGGACCGCGTCCACGTCACCTACCGCACGCCCGACCCTCTGCGCCCCAGGGCGCGCCTGACCGCAGACTTCGTGGTGGTGGCCACCACCGCCAAGGCCGCCCGGCTACTCCGATTCCGGCCGCCCCTGTCCCTCAGCAAAGAGGACGCGCTGCGCCTGGTCCACTACAACAGCGCCACCAAGGTGATCCTGGCCTGCAGCCAGCGCTTCTGGGAGCGCGACGGCATCTACAGTGGCAGGTCCGTCACCGACCGGCCCTCCCGCTTCATCTACTACCCCAGGCACGTCTTCCCCAATGGCACGGGCGTCATCCTGGCCTCCTACACCCTGGACGACGACGCCACGTTCTTCTCGGCCATGGACCCCGCGCGGGTGGTGGACATCGTGCTGGAGGACCTGGCCGCTGTGCACAACCGCCCCAAAGAGGAGCTCAGGGCCCTCTGCTCCTACTCCTCCGTCAAAAACTGGGGCCGCGACCCCTACTCCATGGGCGGCTTCACCTTCTTCACCCCCTACCAGTATGTGGACTATGCCAAGGAGCTCAGCCGGCCGGAAGGGCGGGTCCACTTCGCGGGCGAGCACACGGCCCTGCCCCACGGCTGGATCGACACAGCCATCAAGTCTGGGCTTAGGGCGGCCCGGAACATCCAGGCGGCTGCGGATCTGGAAGGGCAAGGGGGCACCGAATGGCCCCCCTCCAAAAGCGAGCTGTAGCCAGTGTACGAGCACCAGTGAGTCCGGTCGCCTGGATTCACCAGAAAAGCCCAGAACTTCCTATCTCGCCTCATCCTGTCCTCCGCCCAAAGGTGCCAGACGAGGGAACTAAGGCCAGGGATGGAGTCCCTGGGACATTAACTACCCAGCACCACAGCACCTCAACAACAAGAATGTGTAAGGTAGTCATTAAACCAGTAAAGCGTTTGTTGAAGCTAAGGTTGTCACCAAGTGTTTATCTGCATTCAGGGTACAGCTGTCATTAGTTTTCCTGTCACTGAGACAAACACCCACGCCTGCCCACCTGCTCCAAAGCCAAAGCATCTGGCACAAAGGGAGGTGGACCAAAGCTGGACGCAGGGCAGGCAACAGTAGCAATGAGGAGGGGTGAGGAACCAGGGAGACCCACCCAGAGGCAAGGGCCCCACCACTTCCCGGGACCCCGAGGCCAGTCAGGCTGGTGCCATGATGAGCTCCAGCAAATCCCAGAGAGGGGTGTTGAAGGCCAGGTTCTCGCCCCCAGGCTCCTCCCCACATCCTGCCACTGTGCAGTTTCAAAGAAGTTGGGAACTTTGTTACCCAGCAGCAACTGCGTGGCAGTGTTACTGTAACTGCCCCAGGGTACATGGCCGAGAATCCTTCTGTATGCAGTGGAGGAAAACTGGCTCTCAGAGATTAATGCTGGTCACAAATGTTGTCCACAGTGACCCAGACCTGAACCTAGCTGTAAATATAATCACCAGTCCTCTTGTTTCTTCTTGGCTCTGCCACTCTTATTCTTTTTGTGCTCCTGAGATGGTTAGCAATTCACTTTGGAGACATCCAGCAATGAATAAATATGTCATATGTTTGGATGAATAAAACATACCTGAAAACCCAGCACTTGGGAGGCTGAGGCAGGAGGATCCTTGCAAATTTGAGACCAACCTGGGCTACAAAGTGAACTTAAGGCCAGCCTGAACTGCATAACAAGAACTTGTCTCAAAAGAAAAAAAAAAAAAAAAAAAAAGACAGGAAGAAAAAAGAAAAGAGAAAGAAAAGTTCTCAAGGTGCTCAAGGCTGTAACTTTCCCAGTGTCCTCAGTCTTCCCTCCTGGCAGCCCTAGGAAGTAAACAGACAGACAGAGAGACAGGACAGAGCAGGTACAGATCAGAACTTGAAGGCAGAGAGACATGAGATGGCTGAGCTTACAGGCGATGGGCTGGGATCCTGTCACAGTCTCTGCCCTGGGTCTTGTCCTAAGGGACCCCTCAGGGGTACGAGTTGTCACCCAGGGAACTGGGTACGAGTTGTCACCCAGTTGTCACAGAGGGAAAGACCAGCTAGCTACAAAGGGACCAGAGGAGGCCTTCAGAGCTGCTGAGCCTGTGCCTCTGTCCTTGGCACGGACAGTGGGAGTGAACACTTGCCTGCACCACATGCTGTGTCCCAGGGCCAGGGCCAGCGCTGGACCTGCCTGCAGGCCTCAGTGTCAGCCGGCAGGGGTCCCTGGACACTGACAGAATACACCAGGTTTGCAGGGCAGGGACAGAGGACCTAAGCAGGACTCTCCCCACCCAGGGCCCGAGGGGGCCAGGAGCGGATCCAAGGTCTCCCTCAAGCCAGGGAACTCCCCTGGTGGCCAGATCATGGGTGTTGGGTGGGGTAAACCATGTCATCCCCTGGCATCACTCACAGAAACAGCCCGAGGAATGACCGTCATGAGATCAGCCTGGCCTCACACTGGGAACCCCACAGTCTCAGGCGCCTTACTCCTCCTGGCAGCGGTGCCCCACCTGCCAGCTTCCTCCCTGCCTCTCTGGTACCCAGCCCCACACCACCACTGACTCCCCAGGCTCCTGCTACCTATTATGAAGGAAGCAATAATGTAAAAAATAATTATTACTGTAATCCCAGCACTAGGGAGGCTGAGGCAGGAGGATCGCTGTAAATTTGAGCCCAGCCTGGGCTACACAGTGACATCTTGTTTCAAAAAAAAAAAAAAAAAATATATATATATATATGTATATATACCCATACATAAATATATCTGGGTAGAGTGATACCCACCTATAACCCTAGCCCTCTAGCAGGCTGAGGCAGGAGGTTCACAAATTCAAGCTCACCACAGTGAAGATAAGAAACACTCCCATCAAACAAGAGGTGCCCTTGGGGCACCTCTTTAGAAGCTGCACTTCCTAGTCCTAGCCCTGACATTCCTTCTTTACAGCACTGAGGACTAAACCCAGGGATGAAACACCGGCCTTTGGTGGTTTTTACTTTGAGATGGGTCTCACTGAACTGCTCTAGCTGGGCTCCCACTTGTGATCTTCCTGCCCCAGCGTCCCAGAATGCTGGGGTCCCAGGCCAGGCCAACGCGCTGGGGTCTCAGAGTAATGCTCTGTGGCCTGGTAGCATCGCCATTTGCTTAAGCTTCCCCCAGACAGGGACTTTAGGTCACATCCAGTTTGGGATTGTGACAAATGACAACATTTGTCACACACAGCCAACATTCATGTGTAAATTTTGTGCAAACATGAGTTTGCACTTCTAGGGGACATCATCAGGCCCCTCAGAAGGTGCAGATTTATTTATTTATTTTTTAAGCCAGTCAAATTTAGCAGTGGGGGGGTGGTATACCAACTTTAGTGACACTAAGGTGCGGATTTAGAAGTGTCAAACCTCACCACACTTCCCCCAAAGGCACCAGCTCAGCTGCCTTTCACTGGCATTTGGCTGTGTGTTGTTTAATCCCGGCCATTCTGATAAGATCGTAATCCAGTCTCCTCGGGGCTTTAATTTGTGCTTCAACTATCTTGGGGGTCTTTTTGCATATTTCTTTCCTGAAATATCTTCTCGTGTCTGCTTTGTTTTCCACTGGAACGTTTGCTTTCCTGCCGGTGAGTGGGGAGATCTCCGAGTGTACTAGGTGAGAGGTGAGAGGGCTTTGCCAGGCCTGGGTCTGCGGCTCCCTCCCTGCATCCCCCTCACCCTCTCATCCTACTCTCCTCTGCAAGTTTTATAGTTTCGTGTGTTATGTTTAAATCGATGGCTCCTTTTGAGTTAATTTTTGTGCAAGATGGAAATAGTTTGGTTGGGGCAAAATTGCCAAGCCAAGCCAAACCGAACCAAACCGAAAGGAAGACACTTTGCACCGAGGAGATAAGAAGCCAGCATTTAATACTTACACCAGCAGACTGCAGCGGGGATCTTTCCTCAAAAGCAACAGCGCTGAGTTTATTTAGGGAAGGCTCAATTCACACAGAATTGAGAAGTGGGAGGTACAACACAAATGACACAAGGTTACGTGATTGGTTATATACCTCCTCACAAAGTGACAGGCAGGCGGGTTTTGAAACAAAAAAAATTGTTTATCATAATACAGAAATACACTGGGAACAAGCTACCGAGTGAGCTGTTAAAGGCATCAGCATAATAGAGGGGACCCTTGAATGAAAACAGGGTACCCCAATCACTCTGACTCAGTGCTCTTGAGAGCTGTGCAGCTGGGCTGCAGAAATCGTGAGCTGAATTCAGCAGAAGAAGCAGAACACAAACTTGGTCAGAGATCAAACTTGATTTTGCCATCTCATAAATGTGTTCCTACACTATAATTGTGCCCCAACAGTTTCTCAAATAAAATGTATTTTCTACCAATACATTTTATATTCTTGTGGGGGAAAATTTAGCATATGCTTAAATGATAACAAAGACAATTTTAAAATTTACAAGGCAACAAACACTACGGGAAATCAGTATCTGTCCGTGTTTGCCCTTTTGGCTGTTTTTTTTTTTTTTTTTTTTTTCTTCTTTTCTTTTCTTTTCTTCTCCCTTTGTGCTTTTATATTTGTAACCTCCTTTCAGTTCAGCTGGAAAATCAAATAAGATTTCCTTCCAAATTTACAGTTAGCTACAATTTCACCCTTGTCCTGCCCTTTCCCTGCGCGCTGAGCCGCGTCCCCGCTCCTTCATTCATTCACTGGACAGGGTCTCGCTCGGAGGCCACATTTTTTACCGGTGCTGGGCTGAAGGTTGGGACGCTCCTGCCTCAGCCACCCAGGGGATTGCGATGACAGGGAAGTCCCAGTACGCCCGGGTCCTCGGGTTTGCCTGGGCAGGAAGCAGAGGGCTCCGGGGCAACAACGCGCCGGGGGATCAGCTTTGGCAGTGCAACTGCTGTTGTGATCACCAGGCTCAAAACAAAAAGTCCTTCCCTGACCGGGAATCGAACCCGGGCCGCGGCGGTGAGAGCGCCGAATCCTAACCACTAGACCACCAGGGAGGTGCTGAAGGCGAGGTGCCCGTGCGCTCTGAAGGAGCCATGGTACCGCCCACGGAGGCCGAGGGGCGGGCCCTGCTGGTCGCGGAGGCGAGGGAGGTGCCAGGCTCAGGAAAGAAAAAAAAAAAAAAAGAAAAACAGAGCCGTGTCAGAAGTGGGATTCGAACCCACGCCTCCATGCGGAGACCAGAACACCCACAGGCAAGGCACAACCTTGAGTCTGGCGCCTTAGACCACTCGGCCATCCTGACACCCGTGAACAGGCTGGTGCCACTTGTTCTGCAGTCTGCGCCCGGGTACAGCCCGCGGGGCCGAGTCAGCTGGCTGTCTCCGCATCACCCGAGGCCGAGGCAGAAGGCTCGCGGGATCCAGCTCCGTCTGGGCAGCCCAACGACTTAGAGAGACCCGGGCTCAGACAATTTTTAAAAAAAAGCTGAGGCTGTAGGTCGAAGAGAAGACCCTGGATTCAACCCTTGTACCACAAATTAAACCCCAAGTCCAGGCCTCAGGCACCGCAGCCGGGCGCCGGCCCCAAGTCAGGTCGCTGCCCCGGGAAGCAGAAGCCTGCGCTCCCGGGTGCCCGCGCCGCCCGGACCCGCTGGACCGCAGGCGCGTTGTTCGTCCCCGTGGCGCTGTCAGAGGCCTGTTTTCTTGCGGCCTTGTTAGGCGGACTCCCTGCGCTACTGTCCGAGCACAGGGGGCAGTGTAGGGCCGGAACGGCTGCCCGCAGTCTCCAGCGAGAGACTGGTGTGCGGCAGCGACTGCGCCGCGGGTGGTCAGCGCCCGGGCAGGTTGTGATCTGCGCCGCAGAGCAGCGCAGAATCGGCTTCCTGGAAGGCCAAACGCCATCCCCTCATCCCCTCACCCCCATCCCGCCATCCACCCATCCCCCAACCATTCTCCAGCCCCCTTTACCTACCCCCCTTACCTATCCCCCCACCCACGCCTCTACCCTTCCACCCAGCCATCCACCCATCCACCTATCCACCTGTCCAGCCACTTTATCATCCAGCCACTTCCAACCCACCACTGGCCCACCCACTCATCTATCCATCTTTCTGTCCATTGAAATTTCCTGTACTGCAAACCCAGTTGTAAAGTCAGAATCCTGCCCTGCTGGGCTGAGCAGCTTAGTGAAGAGGATAATCAGCACAAATGTACCAGCTTTGAGGAGAAAACAAAAGCAAAGTAACTAAATCAGGCAGCGGTTCTATTTTACAGCAGGATGTTAAGTAAAGCCTCACTAAGGTGACTTGAAAAAAATATATCTCAATCACCAAAGTGCATGCATTGAGGTTTCATTCGATTAATGATGTGAAAGAACAAATTTATTCCGACACTGGTTTAAAATAAAGATTCAAACTACTGCAGTAGGATTTGCAGCAGGAGAAACGAAGCTCCATTTCAATTCAACACAGACATTAGTGGATTTATGGCCCTGTGGAGCAGGTTGTGGGCCAGTGGGTGGAAAATTACTAAGCCAAGACCTGGAGGGTAAGGGGATTCTTGCTAAACTGGCCTTACAGGAGTCTTGCTAAAACCAGGCCAGGGGTTTAGGGATTCAGAGATAAGGGGTGATCAGATAGAGACGCTGCTATGCTGGGTGGGACAAGCCCAAGATGTCCACACCCAGAGAAAAAGAGCTTCGGAGGCGTGGGCAGGGCTGGACACTGCCCACGCGAAGGAGAATTAGAAGAGTTTTAAAATAATCATCCAGCCAAACAAATGCTGCATAGAGGCCTCCTGACACCCTGAGTGTAACCCTTCGCAGTGCTCGGAGTTAGCGCTTCCGCTTAGAAATTACCTTTTTCTTGTGGGAAGGAAAAGTTCATCAACTGTGTCTCTTGACAGATTCTATCTGCATTGTTAGGAGCAAGAATCCTTAACCTTGCCCAGACAAAAAGCCTCCGCATCACTGTCTGTCTGCTGCAGGCCTTCTCCACCCTGGCAGCTGAAGCACCCAGGTCTGAGGCTCAGTCCACAACAGGGCTGCCCCACCAGAGCACTGGGCTCCTGGGCTCCATGTAAAGGACCACGTGGGCACCTCTGCTTGAATGCAGAACAACTGCTGCAACATAGTTAAATGGAATCTTATTTCCATATACTGACATGTCCAGAGCCGACTATGGTGTCGGCTCTGGACATGTCAGTATATGGAACTGGCCCGAAGCAATGCAAACAAGGCCTGCAGAAGTACTAACATGTGATCTTTATTCTGACAGTCTCCTGTTTCCTCACACAGTGCTTTCTGTAAAAGATATGAGCACAGCCGGATGGCAAAGCCAGTCAGCTCCAGGAATGGTAGTTGGGTATGAGCCTTGAAATAAAAGGGATATGAGTCTCCAGGGCTCTAAGTTTACACATTAGAAATTGAAGCAACAGCCTCCAAAAGCAATTCAATTGTTACCTTAATTGAATTATGCAGAGTGATCCTTCTGCAAGTCATTCTCCCTGCATTTTGCAGAGATACTTTTCTCCCTCCCTGGCTAGCCAGCTCAAGTTACTCACCATCCTCACTGTCACTCAGCCTTGAGCCACCCCTCTTCTTCAGGAGATAATAAACTCTGGGAGAGGCGTTGGATCAGGGCTTTGTCTGCACATCCTCACAGGGATGGGCTTAGGACCCCTTGGCTGCCCTTAACTTGGAATATGTCTTGGTGTCTTCTCTGTCCGTGGGTTGTACTGGAGGTGGTAGATTGGAATTAACTTGCCAAGATTCAAATAACTTCTCAATGGGATTGCAAACATAACTTTTTGGGTTATAAGGAAGACTGAAAAAGGGATAATAATGCTTGGATTACAATACTCAGACAGACAAAGGGGTCTGCCTCACAGCACAGCTGCTGCAGAAAGGGGCTTCGTGACCACCTGCATGCATTCCTGGGTGGGGATGCTGTGTTTTCTCTTTTTAAATATTTACTCTATTTTTAATTGGCAGTAATGATTCTATGCATTTATGGCATGCAACCTGGTGTCGCCATACAGGCATCCATCATGCAGTGACTAAATTAGGCCAAAGAACATATCCATTTCTTCCTTCACACACATGCTGTTTCTGCAACCAGCTCTCTCCAACCTTTAGGTCCTTGTTTTGGGGCAATGAAGACTGAAGCTGATAAAACAGCAAACATCAAGCAGTGGGGAGTGGCCAGATGTGCGTTTATGGGAAAGAAAAAGAGAAAAGCTCTGTGCTAGTCAAAGAGGTGTCCCATGAGGCAGATGCCTTGCAAGTGCAGACTCAGGGTCTCTGTAGGGTTTTTCATACTGATGCACATGACAGGAAGCAAGATGCGCTGGTCTTTGACGTCTGGAGTGTAAATTGCTTTATTTGTATTTTATTTTTTCCAAGGTGTCTTTCATTTTTTAAGGATGCTTTTGGTCTCTTGCATTTTATTAGTCTATTTTGGTATAACTCACTTAGGCTGTCACCTTTAGTTAACTTTAGGTTAGCTATTTAGGACCTGTATCCTACGTAAATTTTTTTTAAGTTTCTGGCTTTAAAGAACATTGAAAATCCACTCTTGAAGCCATTTTGCAATTCAAAATAATTATTAACTGTAACCACCATGCTGTATATGTGTAACATATCCCCAGAGAATATTCTTCCCGTCAGACTGAGGTGTGGGCCTTCTGACACACATGTCCCTTCCTCATCCTCACCACCCTGCCCCGGGCCCTAGGAACCACTGTCCTACTCTCTGCTTCTATGAGGTCCACTGAGCACAATCCACATACAAGTGACATCGTGCAGTGCTTGGTGCTTGGCTTACAGCACTGGGCGTGGGTCTTCTGGACTCATCCATGTTGTCACCAGTGATGGAAGGTCATTCTTTTAAAGACTGAATAGTGTCCCGCTGGGTGCCTTCATCCCTTGATGGACACTTTGAGAGTCTCTGTATTTTGCCTGCCATGATTAATGCTGCAATGAACATAGGGTGCAGATCCCGCATTCGGATTGCAACTGTTTGGATTCCCATTCAGAAGTGAGGTTGCTGGATCATATGGAAATTCCACTTCTTGTTTTTTGAGGAACCCCCAAGTCATTTTCCATACAGCTGTACCACTAGCTCCCACCAGCATGTACAAGGGCTTCCTTTCCTGCACATCCTCACATTTGTTCAAAGTGCCAGGGAGGTTGTTTAGATAGATGTAGCCACAGTTGAGTCCATGCTGGAAAGCCTGCTCTCTCCTCTTACTGAGTCCTATGGTAACTTTTTTCTTACTGTTTCAGACTCCAGTCTGAAGGCAGGAAGCAAGAATCCCAGAAAAGTGGAGGATTTTTTTTACCTAATCATAATTTAGCAATGCCCTTGGTGGCTACTGAGCCTTCAGGCCTTTCTCATCTCTCTGACCACACCTCCTAGTCTTGCACGTGGCCCAGCAAATGATGGACCCTTCTTAACCTGACTGGTCAGCCTGCGTTCCCTATGCACAGCCTGGAAATCTCCCTGGCTGTAGGTGAGCTCCTGAAGTCCAGCAACTCAGAATAAAGCAGAGAATAAAACGAAGGGCAAAGTGTGTTTGAAATGTATGGTGAATGTTTGAACATGTATTACACAAAGAAATTGCCATGAACACCCTTCACAATCCTCTCCCTGGCTACAAACACACTGATCCCATCGTTCTGCCTCTTTCTGCAGTAGTTCTGAAAACACTGTTTCCAGAGTGTCCTTCATTGTGCTGTGTGGCTGCCTTGATGTCCTGAGCCCACTCATAACATTTCCCCTTCACGGTCATTCTGACTTTGGAAAAGAGCCAAAAGTCACACAGAGCCAGGTGACTTTGGAAAAGAGCCAAAAGTCACACAGAGCCAGGTCCAGTGAATGAGGGGGAGGAGGACACCGTGTCATATTTTTACGAGCTGCCCATCAGATGGCGCTCCGCAGCAGCATTTACATTTTTTTTTTTTAAGGCTAGTCAAGTGAAGCAGTGGGAGTGGAGAAGGAACAAAGAAATCTGTAACTGGTTGTGATCAATTAGTTGTAAACACCACTGCACTCGGAGCAGCCAGCATTCACATTTTTTTCATGCTTCAAAAAAAATGCACTTGTGAAAGAGATGGACAGAACTTCTTTGGAAAGTGGCAAGAATGATGGGTTGTTTCAAAGCCAGGGAAGGATTTTGAGGGATTCAGGGCAATGTGACTTCTTCGAATTTTTTTTTTTTAACATTATTAGAGGTGACTCTACCTCTACCTGACCAAGGGGAGGCTGAAAGGGGCCGATTGTGGAGAAGGAGGCTCAGTGTTTGAGATGCTTCCTCACGAAGTCAAGAAAGCAGATAGATGCAAACTCCTGGAGCTCAGGGGAAGCCTAGGTTGGAAATGTAGATTGGAAAATCACTAGTCAACAGGTGATACTCAAACCCATGACGAAGGATCAGCTTTCCAGCCCAGGTGGGTATGGAGGCCAAGAACTGAGCCCAGTGACATTCCAGCTGAAAAGAACGGGGAAGCAGTAAACAAGGCTAGGGAGGAACAGCCCCGGAGGAAAAAGGGCAGGGGAGTGTGACGCAGAGGAAGAGTACAAAGGAGAAGCAGGCAATCAAGGATCACTGTTCCTGATGGGGAGGAAGCTGGGGAAGATGAACCCATAGGGGCAGGGCTCTAGCGAGGAGGGAGGATGGCACCCATCTGTAAGGACAACACCATTACAGTCCTGTGGGAGACATTCTGACGCAGAAGATCTACAAAATGTCGTGCTAGCTGAGGGTGACCATTGCCAGCAAGGAAGAGTAGCACTCCTTTGACACTGACCGTGAGGTCTGCAGGGTCAGGGAATGAGCCAGTGTTGCCCAACTTTTCAATATTCTGTGGACCCCCGTTTATGTAACAAAACCCACAGAAATCCTTGCAAAAGTGTTTTTGTATTTTTTATTGAGGTTAAACATAACACAAAATTAGTGCTCTAAACAATTCAGTGGCATTTAGCACATTTACAATCTTGTACAAACACCATCTGTATTTATTTCACACTATTTTTTTGGGTACCAAGGATCAAACTCACAAACTCATACTATGCTGCTGAACTACATCCCCAGACCCTGCTTTTGTCATCTTAAATGGAGATCCTGTATCTATTAAATAGTCCCCAGTCCTCCTCCCCTTTCTCCTTCCCTGTGGCAAGCACCAATCTGCCTTCCATCCCTGCGAATGCCTTAAGTCACTTTCCTGGCCTCTGAACCACTATACTAGACATCTACAACTTAAAGGACAGCTGTATCTTGGCTTACCTTTTCAGTACGTAGTTGGCTGGCTCCACGGCAGGAAGAGCCTGATGAAAGATAGCAGCTCACATCATGGAGGCCAGAAAGCACAATCAAAGAGGAGAGAGGGAGGAAAGGAAGATGAATCCTTCCAGGCCACGCCCCAGTGACCACCTCTTCCTACCAGACTCCACCTCCTCACCACGCGGCTGCGCGGTGTGCTCACCAGGATTCCATCACTTTGCAAGACCCCACCTACAAGTGAACGAGGCATTTAGCGGACATTCTCTAAAGCATAACAAAGGATTTGCCTATAACAGATATTACACATAAATGGAATTGTACAATACACGCCCTTTTGTGTGTGCCTTCTTTCCCTCTGTATATATATGGGGGTTTGCGTACATCATTCCTTCTAATGATTAAAGTTCTACCCTTTGTCCACTCATCCACTGATGGACATTTGAGGAACTTTGGCTATTATATCTTCTAAGAACGTGTGCACACAAATGCTTATCTAAGCACTTCTTTTCGATATTAGTAGTATACATGCAGAGGCAGAATTTACACTCCCAGTAGCAATATATGGAGTTCTAATTCAATATACTTGTTTTTAATAGCTATCTTAGTGAGTATGAAATGATATCTCATTAGAATTTTAATTTGCATATCTCTAATGACTGTTAGGTATCATATCAAATGTGTTGTAGTAATTTAGTATTTTCTTTGGAGTAATATCTATTATACTGGGAATCCAACTCATGACCTTGTGCTTGCCAGGCAGATGCTATGTCTATTCAATTCTTTTGTCCATTTTTCAACAGGATTATAGGCCCTTTTGTTACTAAGTGTTCTCTATATATCTTGGACACTAGATCATTATTAGCTATGTGGCTTTAAAATATATATATATACATATATGTATACATATGTGTATATATACATATACACACATATATTTATATATGTACATATATATATATATATATATGTACATACAGTGGGGTGTTTTTGGAAACAGGGTCTTGCTGTGTAGTTCAAGCTGGTCTTGAACTTGCAGTGATCCTGGTGTCTCAGCTTCCCAAGTGCTGGGATTACAGATGTGGGGCACCACACCTAGGCTTTTCTCATATATATATATATATATATATATATATATATATATTTGGGGGGGGGTACTGGGAATCAAACTCACAACCTCCCTCTTGACAGGCAGGTGTTGTGCCACAAAGCTATATGGCCTTTTCCTCCCATTTTGCATTCTATCTTTTCACCTTCTTTAAAATGTCCTTGGTGCATAAGTCTTTAATTTTGAGTGAGTGAATTCACCTGTTGTCCTTCATCTGTTGTCCTTTTGTTACCCATGCTTTTGATGGGGTATCTAAGAATTCACTGTCAAATTCAAAGTGAGAATCTCTAATTTCTTCCAACAGTAGTATGGTTTCAGGTTTTACACTTAAGTCATTAGTCTATTTTTTGTTGACTGCTATTCATTGTGTGAGGTAGAGGTCCAACTTCTCTCACCTATCAACATGCAGTCATTCCAGCAGTATTTGTTGAAGAGAGTACTTTCTCCCATGGTTCAAACCAGACCATTTCTAGGGTTTTTTTTTCCCTCTGTTCCATTGTTCTCCATGTTATCTTTATGCCAGGGACATAGTTTTGATTACTTTGGTTGTAGTTTTGCAGTAAGTCTTGTGAGTCCTCCAAATCTGCTCTTTCTTCAAGATTGTCTCTGGCAGTTTCTGCAATCCTGTATAAACTTGAGACTTGTTTTTTTTCCCTGTCTTTCCGTACTGGAGGTTGATCCAGGCCTATGCACCAAGCTACAGTCCCAGCCTTTTTTTTTTTTCCCGAGACAAGGTCTCACCTAATTGTCCAGCCTGGGCTCAGACTTGCAGTCCTTCTACTACAGCCTCCAAGAGTATGGGAATTACAAGTGCATGCAACAGCATGCCTGACTTCACCCCTCATTCTACTGCTGGAGATTAGTAGACTTCCTTTCTCCCTTCTTTCCCAGGACTTCTAAGTAGAAAAAGACAGTGGGAGGGAAACTGATGGGGACCTATTTACACATAAGTTCCCAGGGTTCTTAGAGAAGCCTGTCATGCAGCACACTTTTCATTAGAGTCTGGAGTACAGTGTGGTGATTACTCTCACCACGAGTTCCTGGGAAGCCTAAATGTAGCCCAAGGGCAGTTGTGCTGATGAGGCATGAAGCCCCACACTGGATTAAGAAGACTCTGCTTCTGGCTTCACATTCGATGTACAGCACAAGCTGTTTCAGGTGCTCCCTGAGTAGACTGCAGACTGACGATGAGGACAGGAAAATCCTCAACTTCCAACCAGCTTCCCCATTCTCACTGCAAAAGAGCTTCAGTTATCACTAACTAAATGAGCAGGCTGGGGAAAGCAAAAAACTATCCAGTCCTGGTGGGGAGAAACAAAGGAGATCTTGGGAATACAATCAGATGCACACCTGAAATCCCAGCACTCTGCAGGTAGGAGGACTGCAAGTTTACAAGTGCGTGAGTGCACACTAGAAGAGGAATAAACACACACACACAGGTACACTAGCCACCACCAGAACTGATTAGGAGGAAGGTCTTCAAAATGTTCATAACTCACAAATTCTTCTATATAGACATGGTGACAGCAGATGACAGACAATGAACAACTGGATCCATTTTTGGCCCAAATATAAAACTTTACAAGTTCAGAAGAAGGAGATGCAACAAGGAGGCAAAAAAAAAAAAAAAAAAAAAAAAAGGGTGGGGGAGTGGGGGGGGGAGAAGTCAAGAGGAGAGAAGGGGGGGCAAGTACCAATGAAAGGGCCACAGGAGAGAAAAGATGGAGCAAGACAGAAATTACAGTAAAAGGGACAAAATACAAAAATTAGAACAGTGATAAAAAAAAAATAAACACAACTTCAAGTTAGCCTTTGTAAGTAGATACTAAAACATAGTTCAGGGTCTCATAATGCCCTGAGGTCACTAAAAGGCAAAGAGTAAACCAGAATCATGGCATCTGTGATTTCATTCAAGGAACAGGGAAACTAGAATTTTACAGTATCTATGAAGAGACTATGAGGAGAAATGAGAAAGTGGGGTTTTTCTGGTTTTCTTGTGTGTTCCCTATGGCATTCTGCTCTTCTGATGTAAAGGTTACACCTTCATTAATCAGTGAAGTATCTGGAATTAGGCTAAGTGATCTTCCTTACTGTCTTATACCAGACAAGAACGTTGAGTTACTGGCACACAAACTATGGGAACACAGATGGGACTTCTGTCAGATGTGACTGTTTTAGGATACTGAAATGGGGAAATATCTGCGATTATCCAGGAGACTTTAAATGTTCTTCCAAAAATCCTTCTAGTTAGAAGCAGAGTAACAATTTGAGATAGAAGAGGTGGCAATGTGGCCACACAGTGAGAGACTATAGTGAAATGTCCACAAGTTAGGGAATGCCAGAAGCTGGAGGAGGCAAGCATAGAAGTCTCCCCTATAGTCCGTGTAGGGCACTGAGTCCAGACTTTGCTACTGGTCTCCAGACTGGAAGGGAATATATGTCTACTGCTGTCAGCAACTACAAACAAAAAGTGGCTTGGAGGAGTTCAGCAGTGGAGAAAACCAAAAGTCACAGGATTAAAGATGCTATATTATTTTGCAATAATAAAGAGCTGCCTAGCAGGGGTATGGCGCTGGTTCAAATCCCAGCAAAACACACACACACACACACACACGACACACACATACATGCAACATAACACATGTCTTTTTGGAAGACCAACAGGACTTGCTGTTTACGGTCCAGGCTGCTTTGATGGGGTGGACTGAAGATAACATTTATGAAGGAAGGGGGACAAGGATTCAGATGGCTGCGCCTGCGACGGTACTGCGTGATAAGGGTAAGGCGGCTCGAGTCCAAGTTCACTGCAACCGCACTGCCCGGTTCCTGACCTGCATGGATCGGGGACTGTGGAGGCCAAAGTGGGCGGCTGAGGCAGACAGCCTGGGGCTGGCTGGGCACACAGACGTGTGCCAGCCGTGTCTCCAGGCACCCGAGTTGACGGCAGCTGGTCTCACTCTCGGCGGGGTTCCGACGCTAGCAGAGGCCCAGCTGTGGCCCCGAGATGGAGAAAGCTCGGGTTGGCTCTCACGGCGGCGGATTTCGCAGTGCTTGCTGTTGGACTGAGAAGGGCACGTGGCGGGAAAGGCCAGCCGGGCACGCGCCCCTCCACGCCCCCCCCCCCCCGCACTCCACTACAGCAGTATCCGCGACCTCACTCCCTTCCGCCCGGCAGACCCCGCGCGGGCACAGTGCGCATGCGCGCGCCGTCGCCCCGCCCCTACCCTACACGGTCCAGCCCCTAGCCCCGCCCGAGCGGAGGGGCACGGTTTCCCCTTAAAACAGCAACGGCGGCGGGCGCACGAGGTGGGCCCCGGCCCCGCGCTGCTCTCCCGGCCCGCGCGCGAGGCGAGGCGCAGGGGAAATCCCGGCGCGCAGGCGGAGACTGGAGGCCCCGAGTTGCGAGCGCTCGTGCGGCATCCCGCGGAGCGGGGGGTGCTCCGTAGACCCCTCCGGCAAGAAAGGCGCTCCGCTGGCGCCGGGGTCCGGCCGCGCCTTCCGGCGGGCAGAGATCCGGGGCAGCCTTCGTGCCTAGACGCCGGGGTCGGCCTGCTGACCAGCTCAGCGCCCAGCCCGCTCCGCCCTGCTCTGTCCCGCTCCGCAGGCCCCACAGCAATCCGCATGGCCTCGGCCCCCGCTGAGGACGTGGCGCGCGGACGGCGGGAGCGGCGGAGGCGGCTGGACGCGCGGCGCAGCAAGTGTCGCATCCGCCTGGGCGGCCGCATGGAACGCTGGTGCCGCCTCAAGGAGCGCCTGGGCTTCGCGCTGCATTCGCAGCTCGCCAAGTTCCTGCTGGACCGGTCGGAAGGGCGCAGGGAAGGGGCGGGGCTCAGAAGAAGGGAGGGGAGAGAGGCGACGCGGGGCGGGGCGGGACCGGGGCGTCCCGGGTTGGGCGACCTGGGGACCTCACCTGGCTTGTGTCCTCTGCAGGTACTTGTCCTCAGGCTGCACCTTCTGCGCAGGTCCGTGGTAGATGGGGCCGGGGTGGAGGGAGCAGAGGGTTGGAGTTGGGGTTAAAGTTGTACCTGAAAGACTCCCGGGAAGGGGAAGGGGCCGGGAAAGGGAAAGGGCTGGAGTTGAGGGTTCCAGGCAGCCTCAGGGACCTTGGAATGTGGGTGAAGAGTAAAAGGGCTGCTGCCCCGGTGTGAGGGCACCAAAGATTGGGGAGCGTGGCCGTCTCCTGGCCTGTGGGTGAGAGGAGGGGATCCCATCCCAGCTGACCGCTCCTCCCACCCCAGGCCCGGAGCCTCTGCTCCCCAAGAGTCTGCAGCATCTGGTGCTTCTGTGCCACGCACACAGCCGCGAATGTGGCCTGGCACCTGAGCTGCGGGGACCTGCAGACCGCGGGGAGCTGGTATGGGAGTGCTCGGCCGGCCACAGCTTCTCCTGGGAGCCCCCACTGTTTCCTGCGCCTGCGGGGGCGCCCAAGCAGGCCTGGAGGAGCGGACAGGAGCTTGCAGGTAGGAGCCATGGAGGATGGGGGAGCCTTCTAGAGAGGCTTCAGTGACTCAGAACCCGGTTTCTTCATGAGCCCCTTCTGCTAGCAGGAATATGTTTCAGATGTGAGAAGGAAGCCAGCCGACTGCAGTGGGGAGGGGGGAAGGGTTCAAGGCCAGGCTGGGAGACAGCAAGCCCTTGTCTCAAAGGAAAAGTGAATGCAAGAAGAAGGAATGAGATGCACTGTATGCTTCATTCATGGAAATGGGGAGTTAAGATAAAAGAGTGGGTATTGGTAGACTCTCATGAGATCTCTGTGGAAGGACACTTGGGGAACCAAGGTGTCAGTGGGAGGGCTTCGAGATCCGAGGCAGAGCTGGACCAAGCCATTTTAGCGTGCTGCTGGCACTGTCACCGCTGGAGCCCTGTCCCAGCATTTCCCACTGTGGCAGCCTTGCCCTGTTTCCCCTTCCACCGCACAGGTCTCCCTGTTCTTGTCTTCTGAGCCCCATTTCTTCTGACCCCACTGTCCCCACAGGTCTGGAACCTAAGCGCCATGGGGCCACTGCAGAAGCCCAGCTGCTGGGGTGAGGCTGGGAGGCCGGAGGGCCAGGCCAGCCCTGCAGAGATCATGGGGCAGGGCAGGACCTCAGGCTGCCTCACTTGGGCCTGCAGGGAGGTGGGACCCCCACCGGAGATCTTGCCACCCCCAAGAGAGGAAGAGGATGAGAACGAAGAGCTGCTGAGTGATGCCAGCCCATGGAGCTACAGCTCATCCCCAGATGAGTAAGTCGGGGCTGGGGCACACGCAGAGCCAGGGGGTTCCAGATGTGCAGACCTGAGTGGGGCAGGCTGAGGTGTGGAGGGAGAGGATGCTGGAAGCAGTGTGAGGGGGAAGCCCGGCTGTAGGTGGAGATGTTCCAACTCAGGGGTGCTTGTGATTTAGGGCCTAGGATTGGGCCCAGGGCCAACTGGGAACCTGGAGAGATAATACCCCCTCTTCTTGGTTCTCCTTTTAACAGCGAGTCAGATGTGCCCAGGCCACCCACGACCCCTGCCACCTGCATGCCTGAGGAGGGGGAGACACAGACAGTCCCCACTTCTCCTGAGCCATCCCAGCCAGGTTCCCCACTGCACCCTGGGGCACCTCCAACCTCAGAAGCTGAGGTCCAGCTGGAGCTCAAGGAGACTCCACAGGCCGAGCCTCACGCCAGGTATGGGGCAGACTTGAAGGTAGAGGATGGGATCCTGGCTCTGGTCCTCCCTCCAGGCCCTGGCCTTCCCTCCAGACCCTCTGCCCCTCTCTGCCCCCACAGCCCCAGGAGTCAGCCCCTGCCCCCTTTGACACTGGCCCAGGATGAGGACACCGCACAGATTGGACCCAAGAGAATCCGGTAGGGTTTGGGGTTGGGGCCCGGAGGGCCCAGGATGGGGTAGTGTGCAGAGCTATTGGCAGGAGCCTGCTGGACCCCTCTTCCTATCCAGGAAAGCTGCAAAGAAGGAGCTGATGCCCTGTGACTTCCCTGGCTGCGGCAGGATCTTTTCCAATCGGCAGTATCTAAATGTGAGGGGCAGCTCGGGCATGGGGGGGGCTGCTGCCATGGGGAGAAAGCTGAAAGGATGAGGGACTGTGGGTCAGGGTGTTGCTCGGTGCTTAGCACCCGGCTGGCCCAGTTTGACTCCCAGCACAGTGCCCCACAGCTGGGTGAGCCACAGTGCCATGCTGGGCGGCTTGTCATACGGGGGACATTCCTGGGAGGGTGCAGTGAGGAAGGGGCATCAGTAGAGCTCAGCTGCCAGGGTGGGCTGGGTGTGATGCCAGTGCAGCATGGTAAGGACTGGGCAGGGCATCCTCAGCTGTGACAGGGCAGGCTGCCAAGGGGCAGGGAGTGGAGGGGTGGCAGAGACAGCCCTTGTCCTCCTCTGAAGCACCACAGGAAGTACCAGCACATCCACCAGAAGTCCTTCTGCTGCCCAGAGCCAGCCTGTGGGAAGTCCTTCAACTTCAAGAAGCATCTGAAGGAGCATGTGAAGCTGCATAGCGGTGAGCGGCCCTGTGTGACACCGCCTCCTGGGACCAGAGGAGGCTAGGGGAGGAGAAAGCAGGGCAGGTTGAGCAGACTCAGGGGGTCAGGGGGAGTACTGCTTCCACCCCAGATGCCAGGAGTTCTAGGCCGGGTCAGCTACTGCGGGATCTCGGCTGTGGAGAATTAGGGTCCTGCTGAGCAGCGACAAGACTGTGCCTGTGTACACACTGGGTGGCTGGGCTGTGGCCTGGAGGCTGAGGCAGGCTGGCACAGAGGGACGGATTGACTTGCGGCAGGACCTGTGGGCTGGGCAGAAGGTGACATCTTCCCAAGGACAAGGGACAGCCAGGCCCTGGGCTGTGGGAAGCCTGGGTGTCCCGAGAGATGTGGATCTGTAGTTCTGGGGAGATGCTGGGCAGAAATATCACTGTGTCCTGAGCACGCAGGTGGAGAAGAGGTCTGAGGAGCCCAGATGCTGCCTCCAAGGGCAGCCAGCAGTGCAGGGAGGAGGCCAAGATGGGACAGGAAGCGCCACAGGGTGGGGAGCATGGAGAATCTGGCAGACAGAGCAGCAGGGATCACAGGAGGCTGCTGACCGGGGCAGCTGACCGGAGAGGAGTGGAGACCGTGGGAGTGGGATCCTCAGCGGGATCACCGTGGACTGCAGTGGGGAAGGGATGGGTGGGAACAGAGGCCAAGCAGCTGTGGAAAGGAGATCCCTACTGGTGCCAAGGTGGCACCTGGTGAGAGGCTGAGTTCCGGCTGTGGTTCAGTGGCTGTGGATGTGTAAGGTGGGTGCCAGGGCAGGCTGGTCAGCAGGCATTACTCCTGGTATCCTCTGTGGAGACTAAAACGGGTGACACTGGGGACCAGTGCAGAGGGCCCATGGTGTGACTCATGTTCTGATCTGGACAATGGGGTGAGCTGGCAGGAGACATGGGCGTCCAGGGAGCCTGGTGAGAACAGCACTGTGCAGTACCCACATGCAGGCCGACATGGGCACAGCTGTGGAGGGGCAAGCTGTAAGGATGATCATGGGGACCGAGCTGGGGCAGGGGGCCTGCAAAGGAAGTGGTGCTGCCGCGGCTTGGAGCTGCAGGTTAGTGACCACAGCAGGTCGGTCGAGACCACCCCACCGCAGGAGTAGGATGCGGGGAGATGTGACTTTCGGGGCTGCATGGTCCTTGGGTACCCCTAGGGAGCACGCTGGGGCTCAGTGGGGCAAGGGAGAAGAGCACACAGCTGTCCATGGAGCTGCCAAAGGGGTGGGGCACTGAAGTGGGCGGTCCTAGGGGGGACAGGCCCAGGGATAGCAGGAAGACCCCGAGGGCTGCGCAGGCCAGGTGGATGGGGTGGTGACTCCAGGGACCAGGAGGCACCCCTGGACCTTGGTCTCCAATCCCTCACTGCATCCTGTGCTCCTGCCTGGTCCGGTACAGGGAGGAACACAGGTCAGAGGCAGGGCAAAGTCTCAGCCCGAGGGGGGTGGGGTGGGGTTGGGGGCACAGGCCTCACCAGGCCCTGGTTGGATGGCGCAGCAGAGCCGCCCTAAGCCTGGCACGGAGCGTCCCCTGTGCCCGCAGACACCAGGGACTACATCTGCGAGTTCTGCGCCCGCTCCTTCCGCACCAGCAGCAACCTGGTCATCCACAGACGCATCCACACCGGGGAGAAGCCTCTACAGTAAGTGCGGTGGGGTGGGAGGCACGCCGGCCAGGGAATGGGGGCCAGAGTGGAGGCACCATCTCTCAGCACGGCACCTCCTCCCGGCCGTCTGGTCCCCAGATGTGAGATTTGCGGGTTCACCTGCCGCCAGAAGGCCTCCCTGAACTGGCACCGGCGCAAGCACGTGGAGACCGCGGCAGCCCTGCGCTTCCCCTGCGAGTTCTGCGGCAAGCGTTTCGAGAAGCCGGACAGTGTGGCGGCTCACCGCAGCAAGAGCCACCCGGCCCTGCAAGAGCCGCTGGGCCCCACAGAGCCCTGTGCTGCCCTCTCTGCCTCAAAAGTCCTGGGGTCCCCAGAGGGGTCCGGGCCACCTCCTGCCCCGCAGGCTCCAGCCTCAGTCCCTCAGCAGTGAGTCCCAGCTTCAGTGGAGGACAAGGACCAGGGATGGGAGTAGAGGGCCTAGGGAAAGGCCACGCGCCCAGCCCCAGGAAGGCTGAGGGAGCACAGGGCAGGGCGAGACAGGCCCAGGAGGCACGGCTGGCTGCCTATCTGCAAAAGGGAAGAATAAACAGGATTTTACGAGTGTACGTGAGCCTCAGGCTTCCTGGACTCTGGAAGCTGACTGTTGGGATGTGCCAGTTGCACCAGGCTGCTGGCCTCTCCACGGGACTCTTGGGACCCTGTTTTCTTCCCTGTTTCCGCAATTCACAGCCTTTCCCTGGGTTGTGACCCCCACCCTCTGAGTGGTGCCAGGTTCCACTGCGGGGACACTGGTCAGGCCAGGGTAGGGTCCTTCTCATATTTGCTATTAGTGTTCAAAACCAGCTTGCAGGCTGGAGACACCGGCCTCCCTGAGCAGAAGTGGGGTCTGACATTCGAGGTGGTGTGGAATTGTGGGCATGCTGGTCCAGGGTCTCCCGAAGAGCAGTTCTTCATGTGGCAAAGGGGCTTGCAGCATCTGGACCCCACACAGAGCCCCTTCATGAACCAGCCCTAAGCAGAAAGTCCCCAGCTGCCTCCAGTGCCTCCCTCCAGGGAACCAGATGCCCTGGGCTGCCAGCTAGATTTGCAGACAGAGCCTGACTTGCAGACACGGGCTTGTCCTGGGCCCTGGGGCAGAGGGAGCAGGATTAATGAGTGGCACTGAGGCAGGGAGACCATGGGACTCTGAGGTGTGGCTGTGGCTGGTCTCATCATCACCCAGAGGCCAAGGAGAGGCCAGTGTCTGGGCTGAGGGAGGAGGCTGAACATGGAGACCAGTGAAGCCGGGACAACGTGGGGCCCAGGGACACCAGGGTGGCAGCAGCAGGCCAGGAATGGTGCCTTCCTATTTCTCTGCCTCCAAGCATCCCCACCCCAGTGCCCACATCAGAAAACCCTTTCCTAGAACCCCACCCCAGTGGACAGGGCCCAGCACAGCTGTGGGCCCACAAGTGCTGAGATGGGCCGCCCTGTATGGCCTAAGCTTGGAGGTGACATCCAGTTCTGCTCACAGGTGCAGGTCACCTGTGGGTGGCTTCCCAGCACAAGGGGCCCAGATGGGCCCTTCACCTTCTTCAGGCCTAGAAGAGGCAGGGAAAGTGGGGAGTCAGACACAGGCCTGTGTTTCCCTGGCTCCACATTTCTGGGGTCCACACCAAGGCCAGATCAGCTACCCAAGCACCCTGGTGGTGGCAGGGAATGGATCTGGAGCCCAGCGCCTTGGAGATATAGGAGCGTCCTGCCACTGCCTTCACTCAGGAGCCCACACCCTCCCTGATCCTGTCCCTGGGAGCCCCAGACCATGCATGGTATCCGTCAACCATAGGCATGGCAGGGGACAGGCCATACCAGTCCCAGAAAGACGGTAGTACGGGCAGAAGGGGAGCTCTCTCCAGGGTAGGCACAGGCACAGCACTGCTGAGCAGTGCCCACGGGTCCCCAGCTGGGATGTGGAGCACCCCCTTCCTGAGTCACCAGCTGGATCCCAATCAGGCTAGAAGGACCAGGAGCAACTAATAGGGTACACCAAGGGCCATCCATGAGAAACCCCACAAAGTGTGCTTTGGTTTCTACAGCATGTGGTGAAACACTCCACAACCAGCCCCAGCATCGGAAAGCAACTCGATCTAGGAAAAGAAGGTGAAGAAAGGCAGCAGCATCACCCACGCAGTGCTCGGCTCCTCTTTGGGAGAGGCTGGGACCTGAGGGGTGCCCTTCCTGGTTTTGGGGTGCCCAAGGCCTTTGCTTACTGCCCCCGCCCAAGCATCTACCCAGCACTTCATGGAGCAGGGCTGTACAGTGAGCACAGGGTGTCCCTCCTTCAGGGCAGGGCTGGCCCCATCACACAGACTAAGCCACCAGATAAGAGTGTAAGGGTGCCCCCCCTGGCTGCCCTCCAGGCCCTTGGTCCTGTCCTCTCCACTGTGACCCCGTGGCACCGGTCATGGGTGGTCACCGGTCACTCAGGAGATGGAAGTTCACCTGTGGCCAGGGAGGACTGCACGGCTCTCATGGACGAGTCCGCATCTTTTGGCTACAGACGGGGCCAAGTGAACAAAGCTGGGAAGGTGGCCATTGGGCAGCTCCCTCACCTGCAGCAAGGAAGCCCAGGGGTCTCAGGGTGAAGCAGGAGAGAAACTGAATCAGCTGAGCAGGGTGCTATGGGGAGGGAGTCTGGCAGAAGGTATTTTTAGGTGACATCTTCAAATGTAGAAACCCAGGGAGAACTGTATCAGGAGCTCCCTGTGTAATCCAGGCTGGCATTGAACTTGTGACCTCCCAAGTTCAGCCTCCTGAGTGCTGGGATCACAGGGCTGCACCGCCACACCTAGTTGCCCTTCTCTGGGGGTGGTTCTAGGATACCCTAACCCCAAGACATCTTACACAAAGGTAATTTGCTGGGAGGCTGGCCAGGACCCCACCTGCCTGTCCAAGGGGTACAGCAAAAAATGAAAAGGCAGAGACAATACTAGAAATGCACAAAGTAGGGGCCAGAGACACAGACCTGTGGGCTGGCCTACTTTTTATCCAGCATGTTCACACACTAGGGGGACAGAGTCAGGGCAGCAGTGATCGCTGTGGGTTAGTAAAGAGCAAAGCTTCCTACAATGATAAGGCAATGGCTAAAAAGCCCTTCCCTAAGCCAAACTCTGAACACTGCTGCTGCAGTTTCTAAAGATCCTTGTCCTCCTCACAAGATGTTACCTTGCCCGGCGAGGCCACGGTGATGGACCCAGAGACCTCAGAGGTGGCCAAGAGAAAGCGGGACTTTCCACATTCCAGACAGCCCACGAGCAAGGCAGTTTGTAATCTGTGGTCTGACAGTGATGTGTTTTGCTTTATTTTCGCTGTCTTTGCTGCTGCTGCTGATCACACCTGAGGTCTTACACTAACTAGGCAAGTATCCTATGACTCACATACATCCCCCTAGGCCCTTTCCTTTGGAGACAGAGTACCCCTAAACTGCCTGGGCTAGCCTCACCCTTGAGAGCATCCTCCACAGCTACCCTTTCCAGGAGTGTGAGTCCAGCTGGGCAATCCAGGTTGGCTCTGCCTCAAAACAAAATACTACAACTGTGACCCCAATCCATGGATTTGCTGGCAATGTATTTTTCTTGCTAAGTAGTAAACAACCAAATGTTAAACCCTTCAAGCAGAGGCTGCAACCTTCCCACAGACCTCAGAGGAAGCACCTTGGATCCCCAGGGAGCTTTTCACCGAGTCACATGGCTGCTGACTCCAGCTGCACATTAGTCCAAAGGGCTGTTTGTCCTGGGAACAGACTCCCTGGAGACCCAGCGGCTGACCCAGAATGACAAAGATGGTGAGGCTGGCGCCTGTTGTGACCCTGCCTCCCAGGTCTCAGGCAGTAAGGTACTGTGCAGCCCATGTTTCTGGAGCCCAGCGTCTCTCAGGTGCTCTACTCCATGCCCAGGAGAGGTGAGAAAGAAGCCAGCACATCAAAGGGCTGCCTCAGAGGTGCCCTTGCCTCCTGTGCCTGCTGGGGAGCAGGGTATGGGCCTTGTGCATGGGGCCAGAGCGGCCCCTGCAGGTCTCTCTCCTCCCACAGGGCTTCGTCTCTGTGTGTCAACCCAAAAGAAAAGATATTACTGTGTCCAAAAAATCCACTTCTAGACCATCTGGCATCACCTTCTTAGTACGGGTTTTGAAGTTGTAAGGCCACCAGTTTTCTTTCACTCCTGGGAAAGGAGTATATATGGGAGCCTTGGAAAGGGAAGAGGACGAGTCCATGTGAGTGGAGAGATGTCCCTGATGGACCGATCCAGCACCTTGAGTGGCTTTCAAGCCTTTGATACTCACACATGAGTGTACATGTAACTAATAAAAATGTGTGCCAAGAAATGCACTTTCATGGTAGATTCAAGATAAACTTCCGGATTTCGCAGATCACTTTATTATGGTGGTGTTTCTGAGACGTTGCAGGTATTTCACACCAGATCTAAGTGATCACAAAGGGGGAATCAGGAGGGTTACAACACATCAGGTTTCAGAACATTTATTGTCAGTCCACAGTGAGGGATTGTTCTGAGTTGTGTCCTTTGGTCTGAGCATGGTCTCCTCCCTGGGTACCTGCTCTCATGCCTGTTGGACCTCCTGAAGCTGAATACACATAACAGGCTGTGGCGTGGCCCAGGCATGGCTGAACTAAAAATGAGGAGACTGCTCAGGGGGCAAGATAGGCCACAGCTGAGGCCACCTGGAGACTTTCTCCTGGGCTAGTTCTCCTTAATTAGCATCATCTGTTGCTTGGAGAGGTTCTTGAACCCCTCCCAAGGCCCTGCTCAGGTTTCCTGTGTTTTCCACTCTAACCCCTTCCTTGTTTGAATACTAAATAAATAGGGGCTTCCCAGAGACATTGCCTCTGCCACCAGAGTTAAGAACTCTGCAGAGGGTTTTGGTCCTCCTGGAGCACTAAAGATCATGCTGCTTGTCTCATCCATTTGGGCCTTCGCCATGCACTCATTTGGGAGATTGGGGATCTAGGCACAGACCCCAGTACACTTCTTGGGTGGGAGGAAAGGCCCAGGGATGTCAGGATTCACAGGAAGTGGGCATTTCTGTTTTGAAGCCAGGGAGCAAAGTTGAGGGATCCTGCAGAGCTGGACTGGCTGGCACAGTCACAAAGAAAAATGACTTTCTGTGAGAAGATAATAATACGCAATAGTTCACCAATCATGCTTGACACTGACTAGGGCTGAAATGGTAATTTTAAAAAATATATTGTGTTAATAAAGTGTATTATTAAATTTTTACCTATTTTTAAAGAAATTTAAGGTTGCAGATGGGCTTGCATTTTGTTTCTATTGGACAGTCTGTTTCACTGACCTTTGCAGATCTTGGGGCAACTTACATAGAACTTACAGCTTCCAGTCCAAGGAAGGCTTTGGTTAGAAAAAGGTGGCTGAACTTGGGGGACCTCAGAGCCTCCTTGATGGGGTGCGGGAACTCCCCTCCTCTGTTTTCCTCTCTCTTCTCCCAAGGCTGCAGCCCTGACCACCTCCTTCAGAGGACCCACCCACTTCTCTGGGAAGAGGGCATCTGCAGTGCCACCTAGATATCTGCTGGACACTCAGCATGGTGACCCATGGCACACTCGCCCCACCCACCACTGCGCAAGGGAGGCTGGCACAGCTGGCGCACATATCCACACAACGACACGTGTCCCTTTCATCCTCCCAGCAGTGCTCTGCCTTGGTGCCAGTCAATAGCAAACCCGAGGTCCTCCACAGATCGGTCTAGAGTCGGGCTGGGAACAAGAAGGGGGCCAGAAGACAGGTGGCCAGTCTCTCAAGTTCCCCAGGACCTCAACCCTGAGCCAGGAGGTGGAACTGTCCCCAAAAGAGGGGCTAGGAGCTGGGTATGGAGATAGGGGAACTCAGCTGCTTCCGGCAAAGGGGTTGTCCTCCTGGGGTCTCCCTGCACCCCTGCTTGTCTCTGGGAAGCTGAGATGTTGCTGTCTCCACAATTCCGTGACATCCCTAGGCTGCCGCAAGCCGGATAAGCATTGCACCCCTGGCCTGGATGGTGTGTGACGTGGAGACGTTCACTCTGCTGTACTTCCCCTCGTGCAGTATTTCCATGGGGAAACCCACCCCCTTCCTTCAAACCGCTTCAGATAATCGGAAGAGCAACCCCTGCCACCTGTGCCTCCTCCCACCCCTCACTCAGCATTATTCCGAATTAATTAATCAGGGAAAATCAGAAGAAACAGTAGTTCCAGTGCATTCTGGAAAGACCGAGGCCCTGTTCTAGTAGGTGAGGAAGGGAATGGAATTCAGAGCAACAGGATAAGGAGCTGGGTCTGGCACTGCAGTGGCATTTCCCTGGGCTCCGGAGCCAGTCTGACCTGTTCCGGGAGCCGCTGGGAATCCCCCTCAGCCTGAGAAGCAGACAAACACTCTGGGAAATTTGGGTTTCGCAGTTTTTGTCATGAAATGTGTGAAGTCTGGAGAAGGCTAAGTAGAAGAGGCAGAACACACACATACTAAGTTCCTGCTCCGCACCAGCGACCCAGGGGGAAGTGAAGCCGGCGTGTCCCAGAGGACGGACAAAAGAGACGGGCCGACCTGCTGCGCCCTGCCAGGGCTTCCGCCGAGCAGCTGGGTATTAAAACCTCCGCCAGCTTGTGCCACACGTGAGGAGATAAATGACCCTGACACCCGAAGCCAGCATCCTGCCTGTCTGTCCCTACCGGAGCGTCACCGAGCAGCGCGCGCTGACCTCCGCGCGCGGAGGGAAACCAGAGCACCCCTGCAGCCCGAGGGCGCCTCTTCTCCAGGAAGCCCCTTCACGCATGCAGCGCAGCATTGGCTGCGGAGCCCGCATGGCAGAGCCGGGACTTCAGCGGGAATAGATGGAGACACGCCGAGCAGGGTTTCCCTGAGGTCCACCAGCCAGCACCAGGAGCGCCCTCCCGGAGACCCCGTCCCCGGGGGCACGCGCAGCGGGCGGAGGCTGCGTCCGTCCGGGTCCCTGCAATCCGGCGCCATCTGGTATGGGCCCTGCCAGCTCCAGCCAATCGCTCGCGCCGTCGAGCCTACGTCACCGGTTGCCGGGTGGCTCTCCCGACGCGGCGAGCAAACCCTGACTCTCGGCCGCTCTCTGTCGCCGCCGCCTTACCCTGCCGCCCTCCGCGCCCTCTCCAGCCTCTGGCGGGCTTTGCAAGCATTGAGGACATCCTTGGGGACCTGCTGCGCAGATGTCCAGGCGTGGCGGGAAGAAGGAGGGGTCGCCTAGGCGCGCCACGCTCTCCTGTGCACGCTTAACCGAGCGCGAGCTCGTGCTGCTCCGGGTTGGGGACGTCGGAAACCCAGCTCAGGCGGGATATGTGCAGGGTGCACCGCGACTGCCTCAGAGCACAGCTGTCCGCAGGCCAGGGGCCAGCGAGGGCAGTTCTTTCCCGGCCAAGACCCGTGTGTGGGAGGAGCCACTGAGGGTGGAAGTGAAGTGCGGGAGCAGAAATCAAAGAAGCTTCAGGCTGAATGAAGAAGCCCTCAGATGTAGCCAAGGATTACAAAGAAAACAATTTATATGGGACACGCATCTTATAGGCTTGTTTTGCAGGAGTCACCAAAGAATCAAATACAAAAAAAGGGCAGGAGATCTATCCTATCCACACATTTAAGACCCAAAGAACTCAGCTGAGGCCTGGATCCCAAGGCAAAGTCCCGCATGAGTCCAGCTGGAGGCCTTAGAGCACACAATGTCTCATGCAAGTCTGTTTCACAGATCTGCACTGGGAAGGCCCATATGTCAGCGGTGGAAGCTAGAAAGTCTGTTACAGCGGGGTGAAGGATCTGCGCCAGCAGGCTGAGGGATCTGCACTGAAACCAGGAAGTGACGCTCAGAATAAGGATCAGGGCTTCCCGGAAAAGTACCGCAGCCATCCTCAGTGACAAGGTCTTGAGCTCCTTTGATGATGTGAACAGCCGAGTCCACACCAGGAAAGAAGCTCCACAGCTACTCCTGGAGAACCCACAGCAACAGGAGACTCAACACCTCTTTTTCCTCTCCAGTTCCTTCTTAGGTTGGCAGTGATCCTGAGGTGGGCCCTCTGCACCCAGCACCATGCTGACTCAGCTCAGTTGGTTACAAGCTGAACACAGGGTGTTAATCCAATCCAACACATCCTCCTTCCCGTGAATTTCAGTTTGGTGCTGGGAGTTGAACCCAGGTCCTAGTACATGCTGGACACAGGCCCTGCCACCAGGCCTCTTCCTCCTCGAGCTTGCACGAGCTTTCAGTGGGCCACCGAGTCTGCACCTGGCTGGGGAAGGGAATGCAGAGGAGAATGAGGTACTACGAGCCCCTCAGGACCTTACAGCATGTGGAGAATCTGTCTGTACCCAAGAGGTGTCCCTCCAAGGACACAGACCATAGAGGAAGTGCCCCTAGGGGGTGGATGAGAAGGGTAGCAGTGAACCCTAGAGCACCTGTTTCCAAAAGAAGAGGGCTGCAGAAAGGACAGCAGAGCAGTGGTTCTCCTATGTGTGTGTGTGTGGGGGGGGGGAATTCAGACGAGCATCAGCTTGGACCCCAAGTGAGGAAGGAGTGGGCAGTTCCCAGTGCACCAGGCTGTGGGGGCTCCAGCACCGGTTTAACAAGAGATTTAGCACTTGAAGGCTGAGGTGGAAGGATCCCAAGTTTGAGCTCAGTATGAGCAATTTAGGAAGATCCTGTCTTAGAATTGAAACTTAGAAAGTTGTTCTAAAAAGATTTGGAGATGTAGCTCAGTGAGAAGGCCTGGGGCCCATCTCCAAGAGACAGAGGGGAGAGTGGGTGGAAAGGGAGTTATCTATTGGAGCTGGGTGCAGTGACACCCATAATCCCAGCACTGTGGGCATCGGAGGCAAGAGGTTTGAAAGTTTAAACCCGGGACAGGACAATTTAGTGGCATAGCAAGGTCCTGTCTCAAAACACAAAATACAATTTAAAAAAAGGACTGAAGCCATAGTTCAGTGTGAAGGCCCAGAATTAGTTCCCTGGACACCCCCACCCCCACCCCATGGGGCCATTTAAAATTTAAGTGGATAGTTTTTAAATGACTGTAAAGCCTAGACTGCTGGCACACAATTGTGATCCCAGCACTGGAGGACTGAGGCTAGTCTTGGATACATAGGGAACTCAAGGCCAGCCTGAAAGGCTTAGATCCTGGCTCAGCAAGGGAAATAATCTTGACCACTTCTTTAGGAGGCTTCCTTGAGGCCCTGTGACTTTTGTCTGTAAGGCCCTGGGTTATCTGGGTTCAGACTACACCTGCCACTTAACCACACCAAGAGCAGTTGCCAGCAGAGTGACCCTGGGCAAGTTATTTAATCTCCTTGTCTCTGAATTTCCTTAACTGTAAGATGGGCTTATGGCTTGCTTCAATCCTGTTGTGAGAAGCTGATGAACAGTTGAAACAAAACAATTCAGAAATTCGCCTCATCCCTGACTTGCTACTTCAGCCAGCGGGGCCGAATTGGGCACCAGCAGTACAGAGGTGAAGAGGGATCTCCTGGACACGGAATGGAAAACAGTAAAGATGCCACAAATTGGAGGTTCTGTGGGGTGAATGTGGATTACAGAACCAATCACCAAGAGGGTAAATGTGGAAAGAGCAAGGTGGTGGGGAAGAGGATGAAATACAGACCTAGTGATCGAGAGAAAATCTGGGGCAAAACAGCTACTCGCCTCGCGAACTGGGTGGGGAATTGGAGGAGACAGCCCTAGGGAGGAAGAGTCCTAGGGAATGGGGTCACACTCTTGAGCGGGGCAAGAGTACTGAGGGAGGCAGCATGAACTGGGCAGAGGCTGATTCCCAGACACTGTGGCGGCTGTGGTGGCTCCTGTAATCCCAGCAGGAGGATCCACATGAGTTCAAGGCCAGCCTGAGCTACACAGGGAGACCCTGTCTCAAACAAAAAGTATTGAAAGTATTGGTGTGCTTTGCATATGACTTCAGTAAAGATCTTTTCCTGAAACCCTGCATGCATTTACTGCTCAAATGCATCTATCATGAGCTATGAGGATAATGCATTTCCAGGTTGTTTCTAAGTAGACTAGAAATCAGTTTATAAGTGAGTGCCAAGGACTATGCTACACAGGAGCTAGGACAATGCCTTTTTCTCACCATCACCTGAATTCTTGCACAGAAGGGACTTTTCAGTAAAGACAAACTATACTAAATGAGAGAATGAACCCACTGGCTAGAGACAGGCACAGAAGGAAAAGGAAAAGAAAGGACCAAGTCAAAGTCCAGTGTCCAGTGTTACAGCCTGGCTGTATTTTTTTTAAAAAAAATTTTTTTTATTGATACCGGGGATCAAACTCACCACCACACACTTGTAAGGCAGGCGCTTATGCCGCTGAGCTAAATCCCCAATCCATCCTGGCTATATTAAAGACACTGAGGAACACTGGATGTCAGACATGTTGAGTTTTTTGCTTGCTACCAGTCACTTGAGCTCCCTAAGTCCAAGCATGAATTCTAAGGAACAATGGCGGTCAAGAGTAGGACATTTACTGGAGAAGAGGAATGGGGAAAAGCGATGGGGGGATGGGGAATGGAATAGCTCCGGAGACAGGAGTGTCCCAAATGGGTTGCCAAGGAGCCCAACTCTCAAAGGAAGCTTTATACAGCAAAACCATGAGGTGGATATCCCATGGGACAGAATCATGATCAACCGGTTAGGCTGTAACACCCATAGTATTGCTCCAGTGGTAACAAGGGTATGTGGATGATGCCACTCACACTGGTTGATAATCTGCAGGCTTAGTCTTGGTAGATGGGAGAAGATGGCTTGCCCCTAATGAGATACTGGGAAATCTCAAAAGGCTGATACCAAAGACCCCAAGCCTCCATCTACCCCTCAGGGAAGTCTGTGAAACTAGCCTTTGTGATTTCACCCTTCAGGCAGGCCTCCAGAGCCCACCCTGTCTGACTGCCCACTGTATTTCTACCTAACTTAGCTGCCTATGGTATTAGAAGGTTGTTCACCCTTGCACTCCTTATAGAGACGGCAGCAGAGGCCAGGGAAGAAGGCCTGTGGATGACACTCATGACAGGGATGTTGAAAGCCATTTATTTTTATCGAAGCTGTGGCCGTCCAGTACTTTACTGAGAGGAGCCAATGCAGTGAGGGAAGCTCGGAACTGTGCTACACAAATGGGAACCGCGGGCTTCATATGCTGTTTACATTGAAATTAAATAAAATGTTTCAGCTGTGCTGACTCCATTTCAAGAGCTCAAGGGCCACAGGTGGCTCCAAGAACCACATGGCACAGTGCAAACGCACAGCACTTCCTTCCTTGCAGAGGTCTGCTGGACAGCGACACCCTAGAAAAACCTTCCGATCCATCTCATCTGCAGTGGCTTCAAGAAACCAAACAGGATTAAAACTGTGTGTTGCTGGGGCTGAGACTTAGCTCAGCAGCATAAGCCCCTGCTTTGCAAGTGCATGGTCGTGAGTTTGATCCCTGGTACTGATAAAAAAAAAATGTTGTACCCTCCGGCTGCTTCCTACCTGAAACGTCACCCAGACCCAGAAGAGAAACCTCTGGGGAATCACAATGTACATGTGAGATCTGGCTTGTCTCAGTGGGTGAGAGGTAACTTCAAGGGCTGCTGAGCCTTGGGATGTGATAGGGGAGTCAGGGCTTACCTGCACACGCAGGCTCGCACGAAAGCAACAAAGACCCCGTGACAAGGAGAAAGTGCTGGTGATCACCACGGACTGAACACACAGAAAAAGAGGGTGCTGGTGGGAGAACAAGGGTGATGGGTACTGAACAGGTAAGTAGGATAATTCACACTAAGGAAGACAGAAGATGGGGAAATGGGGTCATTACAGCAAAATTCAAGTTTTTAAAAACTGAAATGACTGGTAGCAAACAAACTACATTCATGCTTGCTGTGATTTTCATAGCTTCTCAGTGTGGCAGAAGATGAAGGCATTTTTATCCTGCAGCACTGTTCACTGAGGCACCATTGCTCAGGGTCCTGCTGACCCACTGGGATGACAAGTCACTTTCGGAACTTTTTTTTCACTTTTGGAATTTTAAAACTAAAACTTCCCCAAGCTGAGTATGGTGTGATTCGCAAGTATAATCCCAGCACTCAAGAGGCTAGGGCAGGATTTTGGGTTTGAGGGCAGCCTGGATGATACAAGAAAACCTTGTCTCAAAAACTGGGAGTGGTGGTCCATGCTTCTAACTCTACAGCACATAGGAGGCTGAGACAGGAGAATTGCTGAGTTTGATGTCTGTCTGGACTCTATGGTATAGAGTTCAAGACCAGTCTTAACTACACAGTGAGACTGTCTCAAAAATAAAAACAAACAACAACAAAATCCCCAAAACTAAAAACTTCCAACTTTATAGGAAAATTTCTCTTAAATTGCCTTATAAAAAGGAATGTATTTGGCTTCCTACAATGCCAAAGCTGAGGATTGAACTCAAGGCTGTAAGTGTGTGGGGCAAGTGCCTCATCGCTGTGCTGCACTGCAGTTTATATTATTATCTGTAATGTGATCATGAGATTGGAGGGTGGGAGGGAACCAACAACTACAGAACTCCTGGTAAAACATGCCTTCACCAAAACCTCTGCAGGGCAAGACAAAACTCTAGCACAGCTTTTGGCCACAAGAGTCAGGTTCCTAGGACGACCCCAGTCCTTTCTCCCCCACTGAAATGCCTCCTGCCTAAGCTCTGATGCTGCCAGAATTTACTATTTTCTCCTAGCCAAAACCTGGTCACAGAAGAACTCACTGTTCTGACAGATTTCTGGCCTCCCTTCCTTACAGCATTTACTAGAGAACCAACACTTCCAAACCCTTCATTTCAGGTGTGTAGTTAGAGCTAAGGGCTGTGCTTTTCAAGGACCCCAGAGCCACCCCTTTGAAGTGCGATCATTGGGACCAGAGCTACCCCTTTGAAATGCGATCATTGGGACCAGAGCTACCCCTTTGAAATGCGATCATCGGAAAGGCAGAGCCTCTGACTTCCAGGCTCAGTGAGAGGTTACAAAGATTCACAGTTTCAACTCTCATTAGGCTTCTGGATCTTCTCCCAAACCCATTTATGCCCTTCTTTGGAAAATGCAGTCTCTGAACAGTCTAGTTTGGAAAGGCCTGCCCCTCCTTCGCCCAGGACGTGTGGCCAGGCTCCTTGCCCTCCATCTCAAGCACGTCTTCAGCTGCTGTCCTTCGGGGCTGATGCAGCCTGCTGTTCGCTCTTGGTCATACATTCCCACGGTTCCACCTAGTAACTAGAGTTGAGTCTTTTCTCCACAGCAGGACGCCTCTGAATTTGTCCTGATACCTATCTGTATGGTCCGAAATAAAACTTCCTTTTTTTCCTTTTGGGGTATTGAGGATTGCATGAGACTTCATACCGAGCTACACTCCAAGCTCTTTTTCATTTTTCGACAGGGCTTCCCTAAGTGGGTAAGATACCCAAAGCTGGGCCGAACTTGTGATTTTCCTGCCTCAGCATCCCTGAAGTGTTGGAATTACAAGAGTTGTACCACCACGCTAGGCTCTTCTCTATTGTTTTGTACGAAGTACTGTTGAACACTTTTCTTTTGCTGGACATAAGCCTAACACGGGTAACGACCAGCGGCCACAGCTGGCCTGGTCACACCCACACGATAAACTCTCACCTCCCTTTTCATTTCCCCTAAAATTCCTAAATAGAATCGCTCTGTGCAGGAAACTATAGCAGTTACCGAGCAAATCCGTTTTCACCTCTGAAGGAAAGAGGGTGACTGCGGCTCCTGTCCGGGATGCCCGCACGGAGCCCGGGAGGGAGCGGGTCTGCAGCCCTTCCTTCCCGAGACGCCCCGGCTCTGTATCGCCACACCTCGGAGATCGCTGCCTGGGGCACGGGGCGGCGACGGGAAGCCCAGCGGATTCACCCACGAGAGCCGGTTAGGGGACGCCGTTAAGGGTCTAGCTGACCTCACCAGAGTGAGAAAAACGACTTCGGGGAGACACTTAATGTGGTGGTCACAGGTCACAGCGATGCATCCTCAGACGAGCGATCCCGCCGCCTCGGGCGGAAGTTTGTCAACTCACTTCCGGCGTGGCTCCGCCCTTCTAGGTTGAAGCCGGAAGTGACTTCTCAAGGCCAGAGGCCAGTCCAAGATGGCAGCACTCACTGTAAGGCTATTATCTAACTTCCGTTGTATTTCTAGCCCTCATCTAATTATAGGATTTCTCGGTCTCCATCGCCCGTGCTCGTTGTCCTCAGAAACACACGACTTTTTATTTTATGGAGCCTTATTGGAGGATAGGCTGGAAGAAACGTCAGAAGAGGCTGAACTTTAGGGGAGCACCATGTTGTACGGAAACGCGAAGGCCGACCGGGGGGAGTGTCAAAGATCTTGACTGGGCCGGGCCTGCGCGAGAGCGTAGGAGGGCGTGCATGTTACGTCCTGACGTATTTCCGTTTCTGCCTGCGCCCCCCCCCCCCTTAGTGTTTGGTTGGACCGGCTTGTTGTGGGGCGGGCGGGGTTAGGTTGTTTGCTATCTAGGAGCTCCGCGAATAGGAGGGTAAGTCGAGGTAAGACTGCAGATGGGACTTTGGCGCCAGGCTGTGCCGGCAGGCAGGGGTTGGCCCTTGGAACGTCGGGGGAGTGCGGGTTTGGTGATGGGAGGCGCGGGGCAAAGCGAGGCTGGGGCTGCATCGGGATCCGGAGGGCCGAAGGGGGCGCGGCGGGTTGGACGGGGCTCCCGGCCCGGGGCTGAGCGAGGACGGGGGACCGGGCGGCCGGACTGGGCCTGGCGGGGCGGAGGCCGAGGTAGGATGCAGACGTGGCCCCAGTCTTGCTCTTTGTCTCCCTCCCTGCAGCTCCCCGGAGACGCTCATCTGACGCCTCTGCCCGCGCTCGGCCTTCACCACCCACAGCCTGGAGGCGCGCCTGCTTCGGCCTCCCGAATGGTGCGTCCTTGCGCAGGCCTCGGCCCAGCATCCAGGTCCCTTTTCCCCCCTGCCTCGGGGCTGTGGCTCTGGCGACTCCTGGGGGATTCCCTGTGGTGCGGAGGGAAGAGAGTGTGCTTACAGCCCTCAGTTCCCGGAACCCCCCGCATTTGGAACCTCAGCCTCTAACCGCGCAAGGGACCTTCTTGTGCGCCCAGTCTGCCTTTTGATCCGAGAAGCCTTCTTCTTGCCATCCAAAGCCCAAGAAGTCCCCAACTGGGGCCCTGGTCCCAGCATGTCGGTCCTGCCCTGTGCCTAGGGCTCTGCCCTTCGGGGGCCGATGGCAGAGTTTAGGCAGGTCCCAGGGGGACGGGAGACACCACAGGGCGAGCTGCGGCCTGAGGTGGTGGAGGATGAAGTCCCCAGAAGCCCAGGGACAGAGGACCCTGTTGGCGGTGGCAGCAGCAGCAGTGAGTCCAAGTTGTCACCGCGAGAGGAGGAAGAACTGGACCCTAGGATACAGGTGAGGAGACCCAGGGGGAGAGAAAGCGAGCCTGGCTCAACCCTCTGAAGGGCTGTATGGTGATGAGAGCTGGCCCTGTTTCCTGTACTGTGTGACAGTACAGGTGTTTTCTGTGACAAGCATAAAGAGGCACGTGCATTGAAAGTTCAGAAAGCGTGCAGAGAAAGCCCATTACACTGACAAAGGAGGGCTGGTGCGGTGTGGCAGCAATGCCCAGCCAACCAAAGTGGCCCTGGTGAAGCTGCACTTCATGGGGAAGCTGCTTGGACAGGTGATGTCCTGTGTGTCCAGTGCTGGGGAGATGACTCATACCCCTTTCGTTGAGCAGGGGTGTCCAGGCCTCCAGTTCTGACTTTGCTGTCCACAAACCAGGATCAGAGACTCCAGAGGGATGGCAGGAAATCAGCCAGCGCCAACATCTCTGTGTTCTTGGGAAGGACCCCAGGGTGTACGTGTGTCTAGGGGCTTATCGTGGATGGGCTCATGCTCACTCTGGAGCAGTGGGGCGCAATTGTTCCTGGCCTGAGTCCATACTTTGTCCTGACTTGCTTCATGGTGCTATACTGGAACTGCTGTGTCCTGCTTATTCTCAGTGATTTGTGGTCCACTGAGGAAACCACGATTTCTAAAGAAACAAGTCCTGGGTGTGATTCGAGCTTCTTGATTGGTGATTTTGTTGGAAGTCAGTTAACTGCTCTGAAATTTGGTTTCCCTAACTGTTAAGTGAAGCTGATTGGCCTCGCTGATTTATCCAATTTATATTCATTGTGCTCAGACACAGATCTATTTATTATTTTGTTATAAGTTTTTTTGTTGCTTGTTTTTTCTTTGATCTCCCCTCTACTTTTTCAGTTCTGGAGACTGAACTTAGGACTTTCACACCCTGCCCCATCCCTTTTTAAATCTTTTTATTTTGAGGCAGGATCTCACTAAATCGCCAGCCTCAGTTCCCTGGGGTAGCAGGGTATAAATCACTAAGTTGCCATCCTGGGTGTGACTTCACGATTCTCCTGTCTCAGACTCCGAGTCCTGGGCTCACAGGTGTATGCCGGCTCTCCCAGCTTTTGCTTGCTTTGTGGTGAAGGCTCAGACGGTGTTTTGCAGGGGAGCTCTCTGTTACTGGAGGAGGAAGGCTGTGCTGTGAGTTCTTGGCCTCCCAGAAGCTTTCCCTGCTCTGCTGGGTAAAGGGATTCTAGGAACAGGTCCATGGTGGTTTTTCTGCTCTCTCGTTTTCTCCTCCAGTGTCCTTGTAGGCAGGGGCGGTAGAGGTAAGAGTCACAGGTACTCTGTGCCTTCTGGAAGGGTGCTCACCAGCTTTTGTGGACCCTGTGAGTAAAGTCAATAAAGTAAACCAGAAAGTGCAATAAAGTAAACCAGAAAGTGCCGACGGTGCCAGTGTGGGACTGCGGTCATCCAGACATTTCAGTGGGTCGAGCTCTGTGAGTGTTGGAGGACCCCAAGAAGCCAGCAGAGGATGTGGGCTCCCTCAAGCTATGGAGAGACTGCACAGCAGGAGCCGGAGCCTCTTTCTCCCGGCCAAGCTGTGTGGTGCACCGTGTGCTTGTGGGTTGTGTGGAAGAGGTCTGGTTTCTTCCCCCTCATCCCAGCTTAGGATATGTGGAATATGCTGGTGGTGTGGGGTCCTCCGTGGAGAAGCAGGGGCACCATGGCCCTCTATGTCAGGCTTCTCTGGAGGGGGAGGAGATCAGTGGCATTTGAGGTTCGTTTTGGTGTGGACTATGCACTTGACCACATCCCCCAACCCCCTACCCTCAGTGTCTCCTGGGCACCCGCTTGTCCAGATTCTCAGTACATTATGGGTCATCACCCACAGATCCATGAGCACCCACCAGGGAGCTGTAAACACACCCTTTCCTGAGCTGTGCCAGCTTCAGTTTCCTGGGTAGCAGGGTAGAAATGCTCTTGGCAGCAGGGACCCTGTGGCCTGTCCTGGAGCCTGCAGGACGAGGCTGTCTGATGGGGCGGTGGAGACCCACATTCTGCAGTGTTTCTACTTCTCCCAGCAAGGCCAATGCCTGTGTCTCCATCATATTGAGGCCCCAGTGCAGCTTTCCATGTGCTGAGGCTGGGAGGGATGGTCTCTGTGGCCTCAGAGTGGCCTGTTCCTCCCTCAGGTCCGAGGATTCGCCCACTGGGCCATGACCCTCTGGGAACACCGGCCCACCCTCCCCCACTGGCCTGCACTTGAGCCCTGATGCTCGAACCCCCTGGGGCAGGGAGTGCTAGCCTTGACTCAGTGGCTTGGCATCCTGGAAGGCGCCCAGTGTGCCCGAAGAAGGTCACCTCCGGCCAGCTGATGCTCCCTAATGGATGTAGGCGCTGACTCAGGCGTTGGCCTCTGGGATGGCACTGGAGCTGCGTGGAATGTGTCACTGCCTGCCCAAGTCAGCACCTGCATGCCCAGCGCTGTTGCCCAGCCTGGCTGAACCTCTGCACCCTGCAGGCTTCCCTGCCTCACCCTGTCTGCTGAGGAGGAGGCCTTCCCAGGTGTGCTTGCCGACAAGGGTTTCTGTTTAACTGTGGAGGTGCCATGCCGGTTGTAGTCCCCTTGTAGGAAGAGAGTGCCACTCCTGCTGCTGCCAGCTGTAGAGCCATCGCCTATTGGTGATGGCACAGGCTGAGCCAGCAGCACCTCTGCCCCCTTGTCAGGGACTGGAAGCACCTGGGGCTGTGGGCAAGGTATGCAGCCTGCGTGAAGTGAGCACCGCAGGATGGTCTCACCTGCTTCTTTTCTCCCTTCCCATTGGCGTTGATCCCTCCTGAGTTCTGGCCTTCACTGCCCAGGCTGGGTTTTCCCCAGTGCAGGGCTTCTGTCTTGTCCAGGGCATTCATGTGAGAAAGGCCTGAGTCCCAGGTTGGTGGTCCCCAGGGCTGGAATGATGTCCAGAGTGGCTTCTGGATGCAGACCCAGTTCTCTCCCTAGCTCCCCGACTCACTGCTCCTCAGCTTTGTGGGGTGGGGGGGAAGCTGCCAAAAGCACTGGCTGCCCTTCTAGATGCCAGGCTCCCCAGGAGGCAGGAGCCACAGGCAGCAGGGCTGTAGGAAGCCAACCTCCCTGGCCGGAGTGGCCCTGTCCCTGTGTTTGGGCCGTCAGTCAGGTATGCGTCCCTGTCTGGAAGGAGCTGTGTGTCTGGCCTTGGCACTGCCCCATGGCCTTGGGATAAACATTGTACTTTATCATTTTATCTGCTTACTACTTTTACTTTTGTAAAAATGTGGCTGCTCTAAAATTAAAATTCTAGGCCAGGAATGTAGCTCAGCAGCACAGTGCAGAGTCCTGAGTTTGATTCCTGGTACCAAAAATAAAGGAAAAATCAAATTAAAATTTCACCTGCCACCCACATGGCGTTTCTGGCTGATGGCTCTGTTAAGAAAACTTCACAGCCAGGCTCCTGGTCCCCGGGGGTAGGGTCTTCAGGTTGCAGGTGTGCCTGTGTCCTCCATCTACATGTGAGGCTGTTACAGGTTCCCATGTGTTCTTCCTCTCAGGCTGTGTAATGCACCGGCCAGTTTCCTGTGTTCTCAGTCAGTGCTTCAGATCTTCCAGGACCGAAGTAGGGTTACGGGGAATAGAAACAGGAGGTCATGCAGGCTGTCACCTCCTCAGGCTGCTGGAGCAGGTGGCGGGTTGCTGTGGAGAGCAGCTCATGTCTGCAGGGAGGCAGGAGCAGGTCAGGATCCTGGTGGCAGAGCCTGTCCTGGGCACAGGACACCCCCAGGCAGGGCCTTGGTATAGCCTGGCTCTGCTCCTGGGAGTTTCCCAGCTCGCTGGGCTTCCAGGAACTCTCTCATCTGCTTCCCCTGGCAGGGAGGGTGATGAGAGGCCAATGTCTGTCACGCTTTGCCATCTCCGAAAAGCTGTGGGTAGCACATGACTTATTTTTCCAGCATGGGATCTAGCGAGGCCTGCGTACCAGAGACCCCACTTGCCGTGCCAGGAACCGGGCTTTCATCATGCCTGCCCAGATGGCTCTGTGTCCCTTAGCCCTGTCCCACCTCCTGCCTGAACCCCACAGGCCACCTTCAGGCCTTCTCCAGCCCTACCCTCAGCAGACCCTGGTGGCACTGGCTTTGTGGCTCCATGCTGCTCCCCCCACGCCCTGCTGCATCTCAGTTCCTGTCAACGCATCCTTCCGAGTCTGGGTCCTCTGTTAGCTCCCTGGCTGGGCAGCCATAGGGCCTGGGGAGTCAGCCCTGCTGCCCAGGGACACTGTGCTCACTGCCACAGAGCTCTGCATGCTGCCAGGAGCCTTGCTCAGTGCCCACTGGTGGCCACTGTTCTTGGATCTGGTGCAGAAGGGTGGGTAGTGCACCAGAAGCTATACCAAGACCCTGCTGACCATGCTTGCCCTCCTGGCCCAGCAGATTGCCCTAGAGAGACCCTGCCTTGACAGGAAGTGGTATGGAAAAGTGGGGAGGCTGGGGACTCAGCACTGTACCTTGCCCTGAGGGGTATCAGACCTCAGTTGTGCCCCTTCCCTGCCTCCTGCTCGCAGGGGCCCTCCGCCCCTCTGCACTCCAGTGTCACTCACCACCTGTCTCCATGGCAGGAAGAACTGGAGCACCTGAACCAGGCCAGCGAGGAGATCAACCAGGTGGAGCTGCAGCTCGATGTGAGTGCCTGTCCCCACACCCTGGGCTGAGACCCAGCTGGGTGGGTGGAGGAGGGGGCATTGTTGAGACCCACTGTGCCCTGACCCTTCTCCAGGAGGCCAGGACCACCTACCGGAGGATCCTGCAGGAGTCGGCCCGGAAGCTGAACACCCAGGGATCCCATCTGGGCAGCTGCATCGAGAAGGCACGGCCCTACTACGAGGCACGGAGGCTGGCTAAGGAGGTGCGCAGGCACACAGTCTATGTGCGGCAGGGAGTGTCCATGAGTGCCTCGGGCAGAGGGGCAGCGCAAGGCTCCAGGGATGAGGTCAGGCCGAGGCTGGTGGTTACTTTGGATCTGCCCTGCTGCTGGGGCCAGTTAACTGCTCCACCGCCCAGCCCACCTGCTGGCCCTGGGTTCTGTTGGAAGTCCCTTCTTAGGGGCGAATCTGATGCAGTCAGCTGCACTTTCATTTTTCTCATTTCCCTTTCTTCTCTTCACTTGGTCCTGGTCTCTTCCTTTGCTTAACTCTCCTGCTTAGCCTCCCTGCCACCTGGAATTCTGTTGCACCCAGGCCTCACACACTTCATGCCCAAGGTTTGTTCACTCCAGTGCCAAGGTGTTGGGCTAGGGCGGGAAAGAGTTCAGGAGGGCCTGGACAATGTCACATGGGGCCAGGCGAGCAGGAGGGAGGTAGGTGAGGCCATTGCTTGGGGTGCTCACTGCAGGAGGCTCCCTCCAGACCACAGGGATGGTCTCTGCCTGTGTGCGGTCCCTGCTGTCTCCCCATGGGGTTCCAGGGCTCCCCCCATTGACACCCTGATGGCCCACACCCCGCAGGCGCAGCAGGAGACCCAGAAGGCAGCGCTGCGCTACGAGCGGGCCGTGAGCATGCACAACGCAGCGCGAGAAATGGTCTTTGTGGCTGAGCAGGGCGTCATGGCTGACAAGAACCGCCTGGACCCCACATGGCAGGAGATGCTGAACCACGCCACCTGCAAGGTGCCCTGCACCCTCTTCTGGGCCCCTGGGGCTCTGCAAGTCATATTCCTGAGACTTAGGCTTTTGCTTGGGGCCCTGGGCTGATGTTGACTGCTGGACGATCGAGGGCAGCTCTGCCTTTGTGTGTGGTCAGATGCGGTGTTCTTGCTTGTCTGTGGAGCTGAGTGGGTGTTGGTGCCCTGAGAGGCATACTTATGTCTCTGTCTCTCAGAATGTTACTTTTCTGTACAGTTAACAATAACAGGGCTCTGGTGGCCCCGGAGGTGGTGGGAGTCCAGTGTGCAGCCCCTGCTTAGGAAGAACTGGTGAGAGCCTGGCAGGGGAGATTTCTTACCCTCTCTGCTTCAGAGCTTTGCTGGGCACCTGGGTTTCTGAGTGATCATTTGTATATTATTTCCCAGGTCAGGAAGCTAGGGGCGGGAGGGTCTCTGACTTGGGCTCCCAGCCACCCACGACTGTCCATCTGCCCTCCTCATGTTCTGCACACATGGTCTGCAGCTGCAGGGCACAAGGTGCCAGCTCTAGGGCAGGGCCAGTGCTGAGTCGCCAGGCCACAGAGGCCTGGGGGAGAGATTCAGCCCTTGCAGCACCAGTTCTCCATACCATGGGGTTTGTGGAGGCCTTTCTTGCCCCATCCCTAGGGCAGCCCGAGGTGGGCAGCCAGGACGAAGCATGTCCAACTTAGGCACCATCTCCCCCACCACGGGCAGGTGAATGAGGCCGAGGAGGAGCGACTGCGGGGTGAGCGGGAGCACCAGCGGGTGACGCGGCTGTGCCAGCAGGCAGAGGCCCGGGTCCAGGCCCTGCAGAAGACGCTCCGGAGGGCCATCGGGAAGAGCCGCCCCTACTTTGAGCTCAAGGCCCAGTTCAGCCAGATTCTGGAGGTAGCTGGGTGGGCAGGTGGGGTGTGGTGGGCAGGGGAGATGGCGCCCATGTTTGGGGCCAGCAGGCGTGCGGGGCAGCACTGTGGAATAGGGATCCACCAGTCACTGGTCTCGCCCTGCAGGAGCACAAGGCCAAGGTGACAGAGCTGGAGCAGCAGGTGGCCCAGGCCAAGACCCGCTACTCAGTGGCCCTGCGAAACCTGGAGCAGATCAGCGAACAGATACATGCACGTCGCCGCGGCCTGGTCCACCCACGTGGCTCACGGCGCTCATCCCCGGTAGGCGCTGAGGCCGGGCCACAGGGCCTCGAGGAAGCCGACAGTGGGGCTGAGGGTGCAGAGAGCGGCCTGGAGGAGGTGGGCCTGGGCCCTGGCTCCGCCCCCGACACGGACACGCTGAGCCTGCTGAGCCTGCGCACCGTGGCCTCCGACTTGCAGAAGTGCGACTCAGTGGAGCACCTGCGTGGCCTGTCAGACCACGCCAGCCTGGATGGCCAGGAGCTGGGACCCCGGCCCGGGTCGCGGCGGGACAGTGACAGCGGGCCCCGAGGAGGCCGCCACCAGCGTAGCGTCAGCCTGTAGTGGTCAACCTGTGGCTCCTGGTCTCTGAGGGCCGCACAGCACCCCAGGCTGTGTCCTCCTGCTGTGAGGGCCTGAGTGTCTCTGGGGCCATCTCACCTGGTTCCCGCCCTGGCTTCGGGGCCTCCCTCTGACCCTGGAGGCCCAGGCTGCTGCTCCCTGCCACCTGCGCCTTGCTGGGCTTCCTCTGTGTGACTGCTCGTTGCCCTCACCCAGCTGTCCCTGGGATCCTTGGTCTGGAGGACACAGGAAGCTCTGTGGAGGAAGTGAGCCCCAGTACGGCCAGCCCTCCACGCTGTGTGTGACCTGCAGGACAGACTTCGAGCCGCAGGAAGCCTGAGGATGCAGTGTTGGGGACAGGAGCCAGCCCATTGACCACAGGGCCTGAGGGACCCTCACCACTCCATACTGGCCTTTTGTGAGGTAGACCCTGGGCAGCTGTGCTTAAATCGCCAAGGTGCTAGCAGGTCCCTCGGTGCTGTGTGGGCTGGGCATGCTGAGAACCTGGGGTCCCCTGCTGGCCTGGTGCCCTCTCACAGGGACATTTGGAACTGGGTGCTCAATTGCTCTCTCTGGATTGAGTGATACCCCCTGCAGCCTCCCTGGTCACAAGCTTGGCCCCCTGGTCCAGGGCCTTGGTTGAGGAAGCTTGGGCTGGCAAGGCCCTGTCTTCGAGGCAAGTCATTGGTCAGGAGCGCGCTGAGCAGTGCTCATGCCCTGGAGGGCTGGTTCTTCCTGTCAGGACCGGCTCATATTTGACACGGGTTTCCTGGTTTTGGGATGAAGGGGCGGTCACAATGAGAACCTTGGGGGTTTGAGGTGGCCACGAGTGAGGTGGAGTGAGGCTGGGAGGATGGGCGTGCGTGCGTGCATGTGCTGGTGTGTGTGGGAGAGGGTCTGCCCTGGTTTATTTAAATAAATAGTTTATGTACGAGTGCCATGCCTGTGCTGTGCCTGGGAAGGTGACGGGGGATTCAGGTGCTGGGGTGGGCAGAGTGGGCCACACAGCCAGTCTAAGAGGCCAAGTGGGGCATGTGGGGTTCTGGAGTGTGGACCAGGTGCAAAAGGCTGGGTGGGGCCATCAGACACACACAGCCGCCCACTCCAGCCCATATGGGAGGAACCTGTGGCGTCGGGGTGGGGAGAGAGCTGGGCTGTGGCCTGGCTCAGCCACTCCGGAGTTGGGGAGCTCAGCCTGGGTGAGGTGGAGCAAGCCACCAGGCCTGAGTGTCCTGTACCATGGGCCTCGGCCACCCTGACGCAGCTGCTGGGTGCCAGATCGGATTGTGTCTTCTGGTCTTGGAGAAGCTGCTAGTGAGCTTGGCCGTTGCCTGCAGCTGGGTGGATTTGAATGGTTACTGTGTGAGAGTGTGAATCCTGCGTGTGACGGGAGGGTGACAGCTGCGTAGATCTGCAAGTTCATGATTCTCACCCATTTATTTTTTTAATTTTTGAGATTAACTAAAAAGTTTCAAAACAGATGAATAGGGTAACAACAGTTAATACATTGTATATTATTTTTATAGTCATGACTCACAGTACAAAATACAGGCATGAAATACTGTCCAAACAGTATTAGCACAAACGCTGTTTTGTTTTGGTACCAGGAACAGAACTTCTGCCAGGCAGATGCTGTGTACTGCTAAATTGTACCCCTGGCCCCGAGTCTTTCTTTTCAGTGAGCTAAGAGAAACTAGCTGTATAACTATCGGATACTTATATAGATCCTAACCGTCATATTTATGATAGTATCCATTGTATATTTTGGGTCTTATGACTCATTCAGCTTCTCACACTAGTGAAACAATACAGTAATTCCCCCTGTGGGTCTGATTGATTCACTTACAAGTATGCTTTTGCATATTTGCATCCATTTACCTAGGAAAGTCAAGTCTACCCTTCCTTATGGCTGAGTAGTACTCCATTGTATTAAAAGCTACATCTTTTTTTATCCATTCCTTGGTTGATAGGCATTGGGGTTGTTTCCAAGCTATTACAGATGGTGCTGCTTTAAACATGAGTGTACATATATCGCTGTGGTTTGATGTTTTTAATTCTTTTGGGAAGATACCCAGAAAATAGCTGGGTCAAATGGGATCTCTAATCCTAGTTTTTTGAGGAATTTCTGTACTGATTTCCACAGTGGTTGTACCAGTCTAAACTCCCTCCAACAATGGAGAAGAGTATTTTTTCCCCAGTATTCCCTCCAGCATTTCTTATTTGTTGATTTCTTGATAATAGCCATTCTTTCTGAAGATGGAATCTCAGTGTTTTAATTATCATTTTTTGAATCATTAGTGATGTTGAACATTTTTCCATATATTTGTTGCTTTTATTTTTTCATCTGTGTGTGTTCATCTCAGGTTCCATTTTTGGATTGAGTCTTTGAATTTGGGGGCCTTGTTTTTTCAATTCTGTGTATGTTTTAGATACAGTTCCTTTGAAGGACAGCTGGCTCACAGGAGAAAAATTAGGAAACCACACCCTTCACAATAGCATCCCCAAAGACGAAATACTTAAGAATCAGTCTAGCAAAGGAAATAAAAGATGTACATTTTGAAAATTATAGCACTTTGAAAAAGGAGATTAAAGAGGATATCAGAAAAAGGAAAGCTATCCCTTGCTCTTGAAGAGCCAACAGTGAAAATGGCCATACTCCCAAAACTGTTGTACAGATTTAATGGAATCCCAATCAAAATATCATCAGCATACCTCACAGAACTAGAGAAAACATTCCTAAAATTCTTTTGGAACCAGAAGAGACCTAGAGTAGCAAAAGCAATTCTGGGCAACAAAGGAAAGTCATCGAGCATCACCATCCCTAACCTTAAATTATACTACAAAGCTACTATGGTAAAATCAGCTTGGTATTGCCAAGGAAAACAGACCTGAGGATCAATGTAACAGGTTAGAAGATGCAGACGCAACTACAAACACAGCCACCTTTGACAAAGAGGTCAAACATGCTCACTGGAAGAAAGATAGCCTGTTTAATAAATGTTGCTGGAAAGACTGGAATTCCACATGCTGAAGACTGAAACTAGATCCCTGTTCATCCCCAGGCACTGAACTAAAGTCAAAATGAATTGGAGATCTAAATATTAAAACAGAAACAACCCACTGGAAGGAAAAGTAAGTAGATGTTCTAAAGACATAGATGTAGGCAGAAACAATGAACAAAACCCAGACCATATGGGAAGCACTACAAAATGAACAAATGGAATCTCACCTTTGTACCATAAAAGAAATCACCAACAGAGTGGCAAAAGTCATAGCCAGTTGTGTTTCTGTTTTTTGGGACAGAGTCTCGCCATGCATTTATTCTGGCCTTAAGCTCAGTGTGTAGCCCAGGGTGGCCTCGAACTCACCTGCTTCAGCCTTTCAAGTGCTGGGGTTACAAGTGTGTGTCACCATGCCCAGCACAGTGTCACAGTTCTGGGGGAGTGGGCATCCTGAGAGGACATCATTTTGTCCCTGGCTGGCAGGACCCACAGGGCCAGGTGTGCAGGAGCAGGGAACGCGTGCTGGCTGTGCATTGGCTGCCTGCAGGCAGGGGCTGCAGCTGGTCAGGTTTCTCCAGGGGGACTGAGGCCCTCAGCAGGGAGTGCCCACCCCATATCTGTCCCGCTGTCCTGGGTGAGACTGAGCTCTGTCCTGTGACCTCTGCACTCAAGGCTGGGCCTGTTTACCCTGTGCCCCGCACATGCTCTGCACCTGTTGATTAATCAGTGAAGGTGCTTTGGCTTTGTGTCTCTCCTTTGCCTTGCAACCCAGACCTACCCCAGGGACTGGTCTGGAGCAGTACAAGGGCTGGGAGGTCACGACCTGGTACCCTGTGCCTTCAGGAGAAACCACACTTCTCTATGCTTACACCTGTAAAAGGGACAGTGGCCAGCCATGGTGGTGTATACCTGTAACCCCAGCACATGGGAGGCTGACGCAGGAGGATTGCCATGAGTTTGAGCCCAACTTGGGTTACATAGCAAGACCCTGTTCCAAAAAACAAAAAGCCAAACAGAAAAGAGACAGTGTCTGTAATGCATGGCATGGGCTCTGTCAGTGGCTTTCAGTTGCGAGGCCTCTTGTCACAGCGCTCTTCAGCACTGGGAAGCTCAACTTAGGAAGGCCTTGTCTTTTCTTGTGCTAGACAGGGAACCTCTCTCTCAAGGGGTGCATCCCCCCTGAGAGTGGGTATGCGTATGACGAGCCTCACCCCTCCAACACCCTCTGCAGAGCACCTCCCTGGAAGAGGACCTCAGGACTGTTGGCAGGAAGTAGCATCACCCAGGAGTGGCCTGGTGCCATCTGAGCATGCGCCTGGGCTGAAGGGCAGCAGGGTTTACCCACCAGACAGCAGGTCTTCCTGGTTCTCACTGCAGAGGCTGAGCCCTGACGCTGGAGAGCTGGGGAGTGTCATGCCAGGACAGAGCTCCATGCCTCTCACTGCCTCCTGCATCCCCACATGACCTTGGAATACCTAAGTCTCAGGGCACAGCTGGCATTTGAGATAAGGGAGCTGCCAGCAAGCACACCCGGCTCCCGGAGCGGCCTTCCTCACTGCCCGGAGGCCACAAAAGGATGTGTGGTTAATAGTTAGCAGGGCATTTGAACATGTGGAACACCAAGCTGGGGAGTTAAGAAGCACACCAGGCCTGGTGGGGTGTCCAGGTAGGGAACCCAGGTGAGCACAGGAAACAGTGATGGTTGCTGGTGACACATCAGTTACTGCAGAGGGCTAAGGACGGAAAGGGGAGCCCAGGGTGGCCTCTCACAGCCCAGGGCTGTGAGACTGCTGTCCGTCCCCACCCTGCTCTTCCCCCTCTACCCCTCTCTCCTCTTCCCTCCCCCTTCTCAGGCTCTGAGACTGATGATGCTTGTGAGCTGAAGCTGAGCTCCTGTGGGCTTCTGACCAAAGACCTAGTTCTCTGGCTCTCAGTCCAGGCTGCGTGGATCTCCAGCACTCCCAAGCTGCCCACAGCTCTGACATGGAGGCATAGACTCAGTGTCCCCCCAGGACAGTACATACCTCTTGTGGTGTGTGGTCCAAGTCAGAGCTGAGTGGGGCAGAGGAGACCCCTGTGACTCGGGGTCTGTGGCCACTCTCAGTCTAGACAGCAGACACCTGTTGGTGCATGAGCTCAGGTGTCACACCATCTGGGGAACTGGTCCTTGGCCAGCCTCTACCACGCCGGCTCCATGTGCAGGGCTTCTTCACTGGAGTCCTCTGGGCCTGAAAGCATGGCCAGACTTGGTCATCACCCCTCAGGCTCCCCGAGCAGTGACCTGCAGGGAAGCTTAGGGCCAGAGCCTGGGAACTCAGAGCAGCTCCAGGTGGGAGAGGCACTTGAGGGAAGAAGAGCTGCCTGCTGCTGGGAGGTGAGTGGAGGGTCTGCTGTTCAGAGCCTGGGGAGGTCAGTGCCAGGCCATGGCTTCCCCTTCCCTGAGAAGGCAGGCACACTATGGAGTGTGAGGAAACTAGTGGATGTGTTTATCTGTAGTCAGGAAGCAGAGGGGACAACATCAGTGTCCTCCCTGATGAGCAAAGAGGAAGATTCTACGACTAGGTGAAGAACAGCTGTGCAGTTCAGAAGAGCTTATCTCTCCTTCATCTTCTTTTCTAGACTGGCCATCCACTCTTCCTCCCCTTCAATCACCCATCTATCCACCTTTCCATCCATCTGCCCTTCCTTCCAACCATCTGTCTACCCACCTTTCCATCCATCCATCCATCCATCCATCCATCCATCCATCCATCCCTCTTTCCTCCATCTGTCCATCCATCTACCTATCCACCCTTCCTTCCAACCATCCATCTATCCATCTTTCCATCCACCTTTTCATCCACCTATCCATCCATCCATCCATCCATCCATCCATCCATCCATCCATCCATTTGTACGTGTGTGGGGGAGGAGTCACTGTTCTTCAAGCATGCC